ACCCTGAAACAACCTCTGGGCTGATCAAAGTCAGGGCACGGCTAACTCACAGATCGAACCCTGAAACAACCTCTGGGCTGATCAAAGTCAGGGCATGGATAACTCACAAATCAGACCCCGAAACAAACTCTGGGCTGATCTAAGTCAGGGCACGGCTAACTCACAGATGGAATTGAAATTAGGTTTTTGGGAGAAAGGAAAACTGGAGAACCCAAAGACAATTTCCCTGAATCAAGGAGATACCCGACAACATCTATACTCATGTGTGATTGGGAATCAAACCTGAGATACCATGGTGACGTGATAGGTGAGTACACTACCACTACACCACCCTTGATTCCCATTATAATATTAGTTTGAATGATTATTTTTCAGAATGTACCAAACAAGACGATACAAAGAGGAAGAAGAAGAAAAAGAAGAAGGGCGCTGCCATAGTATCTATTGATGATGGTGACAGTAGTACCCACGGGTCAGCTGAAGAGCTCAATGTCACTCATCAACATCCTCATGATTCCAAAGTTTTTCCATTTAGTGACTCCTCAACTTATTTTTCAAAACAGACCAAGAAAACTACTAAATCAGGACATTCAAGATCATCATCTTATCCYGGAAAAATTGCCTTAGAAACTGAGACTTCTGAGCAGAACTTAGGAACAAGTTTACCCAAGACTGTTAGCTCTGGATTTGGTTTTAGTCGTCAGGGAATCTTAAGGGAAATTTCACTTTCAGATACTAGTCTGACGGAGGATAATAAATTAGATGTGAAATGGACAAATGATAATGAGGATGATAATTATGAGAGAGTTCAAAGTCGACCTCATCTCGTAAAGACTTCTTCATTCAGTCAGGCTGTAGATACCATTGAAGAAACAGATGAACTCCTAAATGAAGAGGTTAAGGAAACTGGAACCTCTTCATTTGGCATCCATGGCAACAAAAGTACTATGGAAATAAATAGGAATATTAAAGAACGAGACAAAGGAATTGATGTCAATTCTAGTAATGATTTATTGGACAATTTGTGTGTAGTATCAAAAGACTTTGATTTAGTTGATGTGCGAGATATGAATGTTAGTAATGGCAAAAACAAACAAGAGAATGTGTTTTCAATTAAATCTTTTAGACAGTCAAAAGAAAAGCAAAATTCCACATCAAATGAGGACAATAAACGACAGTCTCTTGAAGAGAGTGAATTGAACAACCAAGACATTTTGTCAACCTCGGTCAGCAGGGATGAAGACTCCTTGTTGGAAATGGGAGGAGATGATGGTCTCATGCTGCTTGGTGAACAGAAAACTACTAGATCTCAAGATTCATCGACAGATAAACCCGAAGTGGCAGAGAACCAAGATGGTGAAGAAAAGGAAGATGGAGATAGTTGTAAGGATTCTGTTTCTTTATCAAGGTGGGTTAAAGCTGATTTAATTATTTCATATTAGTTTCTGATGTTTAAAGTAGCTGAGATGGACCTGAAGAAGAAAAGGGATGATAATTGGAGAACCCAGAGGAATTTCTCAAAGCACACAAGGCAGCTCTACGCATATTAACAACACTCATCGACCATGCTCTTGGTGCTGGGTTTCTCATAATATACATATATTTGTTTTGTTTAATACAACTTTACTTTATTTAGCTATAAAACAGTTCATCTTGTTGCAGTAACTCCTGGTTTGATGACAATGATGACAGAGCAGACCAAAGTGAAGATGATTTCCTCCGAAGAGCAAGGTCCGAGTCGTTGTCTGCCGCTACAGATGCTGCAGCAGCAGCACTGGAATTCTGTACCCCACCACATGCCAAGCATAGTAGCATGTACGTATGTATTGAGAATAGGAATAGTTTTATATCCTTTTAAAACTTTCATTAAAATATTGATAAGAGAATTTTATTATATTTTTGTGTTCCCAAGCACTATAACTTATCTTTAGTTCTATATCTTCATGTATTTCATTAGTGCCATGCGGTCTACATATTCTCATCTATATTTTTGTGTGTTATTTTAGTATGTCCTCAAATAGTGAAGGAATCACCTCTAGAAACAATGTAAGTACCACTACACCTCATTTTCATTAGTTCATACAACAAATCAAAATATGGCAACCAATAGCTAATTTAATGTTCTGGACTGACTAGCCCCATGTTCACATGGAAACTAGTCAGTGAAGAACAATAGTTATTCCAATTTATCACCATATTTTGATTCAAAGTATTGTGAACATATATTTTTTCAGCACTCTTCAGATAGTGTTTGTACTTTACCAACTACGTACACATCACTTTATTTACAAAATGACAATTATTCATTTCATTTCATTGCTTGAAATATCACCCTGCCCAGTTTGGTTATCAGTACTTGTTTGATTTAAACCTCAGTCAGATTTGGTTTTATCTTTTTTTGATTGCTAACTTAAATGCTTCAATGCTATGTGGTTGATGATCTTTGTAACTCAGTTTGATTTTTTGACAGATGCTTGGTGCTCAACATGAAGGAATGACAACAAGTAAGTAGCAATAAGAATCAATAACCAATGGAGGGAGGGAGGGAGGGAGCAAGGGATTGGTGGGTGGGTGGGTTGATGGATAGATGGATGGATGGATGGAGTGATGGATGGTTTGATTGATGGATGGAGTGATCGATGGATGGATGGATGGATTGATGGAGGGAGGGAGGGAGGGACAGAGGAAGGGTGGGAGGGAAGGAGGGAGGGAAGGATGGAAGGATGGATGGATCATTCCATGTTAGGTGGAAATATTAGATGGATAGATGCATTGAGGGAAGGAGGGAGGGATGAAGTGCTGGATGGAAGGGATGGATGAATGAATGAACGTAGGAATTTTATTATCATAGTTTTCATTGCACAACATAGTTACTTGATTCACTTATTAGTTTTCCAAAAATTTCTTTTGTCCTCTCATGTGGAATTGTCCATTGATGGATGTAGGGATGGATGGATTTAGGAATGGATGAATGAATGGATGAATCTTTTCATCAAACAAATACTTTCTAAATATTTACTAACATAGCTTTGATGGTTTTCAGGTTTTTTTGTTAATACTTATTTGACTATTTTTAGGTGAGCTTAAGCAAGCAATAGTCTCCATGATGTTGAGAAAAGATGAAATTGAAGACCAAAACAGGTAAAAATAATATCCATTCATCTATTCCTTTTTCTTTCTTCTTGAATAAAGTTGTCATTTTAACAGATTTTGGGGTTTTGGATAGCCATCATTAGAATGATAAGCAAAAGTCTAAATACAAGAATATGTACTTATCGACTGAGGGCCGCACAGGAAAATATTTGGCTTGAGGTGATGCTGTACGCTGTAGCTGATGCTTGTGTAAATGACCGAGAGCCAAATATTTTCCCGTACGGCCCAACCTAACTCAGTCAATAAGCATTTTATCGATCATATTTATATGATCCTCACGAAAAAAATAATAAAAAAGAAAGAAAGAAAGAAATAGTGAATAAAAGCTAAAAAAGAGAAAGCGCGCGGATTCAAGCAGGGCTGTGCGGATCCGTACAGCCCTGCTCGCTCAAAGCTGTATGGTCCTGCTCATGCCATTTTCCCAAAGGTTTTTTTAAGAGCGCGAGCCCGGGCAGATACGGGTCATATGATAACACAGGTTATCTAATTTGTAATATTTAGTTTATTTACGATATGCTTATTATTTATTAGGGTCTTGTGCCAACTTGTTGAAGAAAAAAGGCATGAAAAGGAAGTAATGGAGGCAGAGATGGAAAAAATGAAACTGGAAAATAAGACCAGGGAAGACAAGGATGCTTCTAAAATCACAGCATTAACAAGGTAAAACTGTCAGTAGGGTTGTTGTTAAGTCAGAGGGAGAAGGGCAGGGATGCTTATTGTACCTTTTAGGGTTCCAGATCTGCAATTTGGTACCGACTTAGGGGTCACAACTACCAGAGAGTAAATCAGTACCCTGTAGGGTGTTTTTGAGACAATGAGATACCCAAAATTATATGATGGCAGTCAGAATGGCAGTTGTAATTCAGGATATTTATTTTTGGTTCATTATCTGACTTTTGTCACTTAGATAATAGATGGTTGCTATCTCTTAGAAATAAAAATTATTAGTTGCCGCTCCCAACTGGACAGGACTCAGGTATCTCTTAGGGGTCAATTTGAAAATTTCCAGCGAGCATTCCCGCCCTTCTGTAAATAGGATAGAAGGGTTTTTAAGCAAAAGGTGAATGAATATGCTAAAATCTGTCAAAACACTTAGGCCAGGGCTAAGCTATGTCAAGAACAAGTCATTGGTCAGAACACCTGTTTCATTATTGGAGGTCTGGTGTATTTGATGTTGGAAAAGACATACTATGGGGCTGGGAAGCTAGTTTGATGTCAGAATCAGTGTTGGAAAGCATATTCTGTGTCTGCACAGCTGGAAAGGCAATTTGATGTCTGAAAGCCATGTCAGTGCCAGAAGGCCATTTTAGTGTCACAAAACCATACTATGACCCTTAAATTCAAAGAGCTAATATTATTTTAAAATACTTATCTTTTTACAGAGAAAATGAAGTTTTGAAACATCAGCTGAAGAAATATGTGGGTGCTGTACAGATGTTGAGGAGCAACATGAATGACAAAAATTCTGTTAATTTACAAGGTGAGGAATGCTGAGTGAGTTACCTCATATTACCATGGAGGGATTTTATTTTACCAATTGAATATTGACCTTTTATGTATACCCTAAAACAACCTTTGGCTGATAAAAAACAGGGCATTGCTAAAGCTACGGACACACAGTGCAACATTGCGTGCAACATTGCATGCAATTGATGTTGCGAGCCATGACACACGATGCAATTAATTGTTGCACGCAAATGTTAACTCAGACACAAATTGAATTGGAATTTAGCTTGAAGTCTGCTCATGTGTTTGTTGTGAAAATTTAATTTTTATAAGGGATAAGAAAAGATGAAGTTCTACCAACGTTACCAGAAAAGAAACATGACCAAGGCATGGACAGGTAATTAAAGCCTGTGTAGAGAGATGGTTCAGCTTGATCCAGAAAAAAAACTTTAAATTTAATCCATACCCTTAAAAAAACTCATAGCTAATGAAAGTCAGGCAGGGCTGGGCTGGGCTGGGCTGGGCTGTCGAGAAAATAATGTGACATGAAAATATAATGACGTGAAAATTAAGTGACCTCCCATAATTAACAACCTTTAACACAGTTAGAATAAGAATACTCAATCAGATACAATCTCTCCTCATCTCAGGTCAAGTTGCTTTAGTAATACCTTTGTGTAGTTTTTGACTGAGTGATTAGTACTGACCAGCTGAACATGCCTCAGCTTACTTAATAACGTTTTTGAATTAAAAGAGGTTATGAATAACTCATTCTGTGAAATTGTGAAATTAAAGTGACTTAGAATGGCGTCTTGTCAAAAAATCACAAAATTAATGTCACGGAAATTTCATGTAATGAGGTACCTTTTATGCCACCCTTGTTAGATAAAGTTGTAAGATAGCTTTCCCCTTAATGGTTTGTCAATATATATCAATAATTATATTTCTTATTTATGTAATTCTGGGTTCTCTTTTCTTCAGTGAAAATGAAGCAAATGAATATGAACAAAAGCTCATTCAAGTGAGTATGAAATGCTGAACAAAAATTTTGTAATTAAAAAAGAAGCTAAGACCCTTAATTTGAATAGGTTGCTGAAATGCATGGAGAGTTAATGGAGTTTAATGAGCGTCTGCAACGGCAGCTGAACTACTGGCACACAAAATCTCAAAGACAACAGGAAGAACTTGTGAGCCTACGTGGACCGGTAAGATGACGTATGATGATGATGACATAGGTTATGATGATGATGATGATGGTGATTGAAAATGTTGATGAGAATGATGGTGATGATGGTTGTGACCAGGATGATGATGATGATGGGCCTTACTTATGCAGCAGCCATCTTTATTCTCATGAGAATAAAAATCTTTGGACCGGTAAGATGATGTATGATGATGATGACATAGGTTATGATGATGATGATGATGGTGATTGAAGATGTTGATGAGAATGATGGTGATGATGGTTGTGACCAGGATGATGATGATGGGCCTTACTTATGCAGCAGCCATCTTTATTCTCATGAGAATAAAAATCTTTGGACCGGTAAGATGACGTATGATGATGATGACATAGGTTATGATGATGATGATGATGATTGAAGATGTTGATGAGAATGATGGTGATAATCAGGATGATGATGATGATGCCATAATATTATGCAGTAGACATCTTTATTCTCATGAGAATAAAAATCTTTGTTTCACTTGAATGCAAGGCTACACACAGGAAAATCTATAATTTCAGTGCACATGGCTGCCACGTTAGTAAGGCCCATAGTGGCAGTCATGATGCTGCTGCTAATGATGATAACAATAGTGGTGATGGTGGTGATGATTTGGAGATGATTAAGACAGAGGTGACGGTGATGATGATGCTGATGATGATGCTGGCATCACTTGTGGTGATGGAGATGATAACTGTTAGAATCAAATATTACATAGTCTAATACTGTCATATTCTTCTTCTTTTAGCTACCAGAGGATAGTTCCACATTAGATTCTTCAGGTCTCTCCAGTTCTGATATCGCTGTGCCCAACAACAGACCTCTCATCAACATCTGGATTCCCTCTGTCTTCTTGAAGGGTAAAGGTTCAGCAGGGGTTTACCATCTTTATCAGGTAAGCCTGCTATGACGGCACGCATGTTGGTCACAAAAGCACATGAAAATCGGCATGGTTGAAATGAATTTTCCATTTAATTTTCAAAAATTGTATCTTTCGGAAGAACTTGGCGAGAGAATTAAGCAATGGCAGAAAACACTTGTGTTGGAAAATTAAAAATATATGAATTTTTTGAAACTTCTATTTCAGCCATTTTGTTCTATTTTTTTAGTTTAATGGCTAAGTTTCAAAATCTTTGAAATTTAAAAGTTATTTTAGCCATGGCAATTTCAGGTACACCTACTTGCAAGAAAGAAGTCATATGATATTAGAACATTAGTAATTTAGTGAGAAAGGAATACATTAAAAGACAAAAGAAAAAGTTCAGCTTCAGTGATCTTCTTTTGTTTTTTAATATAATTCCTATTCCACTAAATCACTAATGTTCTATTTTCGTATGACAATGTTCTTGCAAGTAGGTGTATTTTTGTGCCCAATATGATATCAGATGGGAATCAGTGGGGGTGGTGTGGAGGTTATGCAATGTGGTGTGGTAAGGCAACTCAAAAACAGTGGGGGTGGTGTGGGGGTTATGCAATATCATTTATTATCATTTATTAACAAATATCATTTATCTCTCCTTGGCGTGGTAAGGCAACTCAAAAATGTATTTGCCCCAACTTCAGAACAATAATTACAATGTACCCTAACACAAACTATAATTTCCCCAACAAATTCTAAATATTCCCTTCTGCAGGAGAATTAGACTGAATTAAGGTCAAATTTTTTTGTTGCTTTCAACAGGTTTATATCYGTATTAAGGATGATGAATGGAATGTTTATCGGCGCTACTCACAATTTTATGATCTTCACAGAAAGGTTATTGTACATTTTTTTTTCAATAAGTTAGTGATATCATATGGTTTTGAAATTTACGTAATGCCTGCACAATCATTAAATAGAGGTTATCACATGTTACAGTGTGTAAGAGCTTGATATTGGAGCTTGATATTCATGAGTTTCCATTTTATATCGCGAACCAGCGAGTCTGCAACCAAGTTATATCATATGGTGTTGAAATTTACCCAATGCCTGCACAATCATTAAAAAAATTATTTATTTTCAATTAATTTATAGATATGCAAGAAGCACAAAATTGCAGAAACCTTCAATTTTCCTTCCAAAAAGACATTTGGCAACAAGGTGGGTGGTCACATGTCATCATGTTTACTTGCCTGTAGTTCTGCAATGAAATGCTTTACAGCCAATTTGGCCTGTATCTGTAGTCTTGACTGCTTTACAAGGTTACAAAACTTTTATTTCATTAATTATCCATACCCCCCTCATAGAGGAATTTTTTAAAGACAACCCCCGGAAATTCCAATTTTCTTCCATACAAACTCTGTAATTATTTTTGTTCTTTCTCTGACTCCCCTACTCTTTGGAAATTCCAAATTCCTCTGTGGGGTGGGTATGGATGATTTCTGGAACTACACAATGCGAATTTATGCCATTGAAATTCATGATGACACGAGGGAAACCAAGAATAGGTTTTATCTACTGCATAAGGATAAATCTGGTGGATAGTGTTATTCAGTCTTCATGCAACTGGCCCCCCTGGTGTAGAAATGGGTACCAGAATGTTAACTGTTATGCCTGGCAGGACAATCTGTCTATAGTATCCCATCCAGAGAAAGTGGAGATACCCCAACTAGTATAAGTCACTCATACTTCTTGCAGCCTCCATAAAAGAGTAAGGTTAAGGCTGGCACTTAATGAGCCACTTTTCACACTGCTGATTTTGATTGGGAAGGAATTTGACTTAATTTTACTAGTGTCTCTTGATCAAAATCATGGATTTCTTTAAAACAGGGAACCAAGTTTGTGGAAGAGAGACGCAAGGTTCTCCAGGAATACATTCGGCACGTAGTCAACTTAATCATATCAGTACACCCTGAGCTGGCTACCAATTCATGCAAGGCTACTCTACTAGAAATCATGCCATTCTTTGGGTAGGTATTTGTTTCATAAAATATTCAAATAGAGATGCTTTGCATAAATGATGGTATGATATTGATCTTGGTTGCCATGACACAGGAGGAAGGAACAATTGAATCTGGTTCAATTTGATTTACATGAGAAAGATATTCAGTTTCCCAGGGTAAAAAACACTATTGTTGTGCCTTCCGTCATGGCTGCCATGCATCGAGTGATGTTGTTGTTTGTTTGAGCAGCTGCCAAAGTAGGAAAGGTTAATTAGCTGATTTAGCTAATTTCCAGGAATATCTAATGTGTAAGATAGGCATGTCTAGCAATACTGGCTGAGAACCTGTGAAAATCCTGTGAAAAACCTATGAAAAATATCTTTGTATTTTGGAAATTACACAGGTTTTTCACAGGATTTTCGCAGGTTCTCAGCCAGTAGTGTCTAAGGATGTAAAATTGGGGAAACAATGATGCATTCTATGTTATCTTTCTTCTGACATATTCTCCTTGTGTTTCTATAGTGATCCATATCCCAACAAGAAGTTAGGTCAGCAAAGAAAAAACACAGTTCCATATGATGGGTTATAACACACGTTTTATACTAAGTGATATTAGTGACTCTTACCTAACTTTCATTTTTGAATTTATGAATTTAGGTTGGCTTACAATTATTTGGGAGGGAACAGTTTTTATAATATTTTAATTATTCAAATTGCACTGGGAGATTTTATTGGACATAATGAAAGATGATATTCTGCCAACTCACTTGAATTTGATTTTTCACTGCTGTCACTCAAAAATAATCAGTTGGTAACCTTCATATTTTTGACTGGTGGCAGTGAAAAACCAATTTTACACTGTTGAAATGTCAGAGTTCACAGAATATCGAAAACCACAGTGATGATCATAAAAGGTATAGCATCATATGGAGGTTGGAGTAGAAAAGTAGAATACAGTAAATGTGTGGAAACATCAACTTCAACCTCAATCAACGTAGAAAAACAAAACCCACTTTGAAATTATCATGGATGTAAGGCTAACAGGAAAGTGACATGAAAGAAAAGAATTGCCACAAATTTTGTCAAGAAAATGTGATCATTTCCTATTACCCTCACATGTAAAAGAAATTTTGAAAGTGTTTTTACTTGTTTATAAGTTGCTTTTTTATGCATATCAAAAAATTATGTCATATAGCTAAAGAAAATGCAAAAAAATGAATAACATTTATTCACTGCTCTTAATCAAAAAATTTAAGATACAAACAAATTAAATCAAATCAAATTTCTTTAACAAATGGAAAATTTTATGCTCTCTTCACTTTGATTTCTGTTGTGTACTATCGAATCCAATTTTTGAGTCCAAGAATCTAACCGAAGACGAGACCCCAGAATAAGCCTGAAGCGAGATGACGTTTTACTCCCAACTCTATACCATAATAGTTTTTAAAATTCTTTTATATTAAAATTTTTGATTCCTTAGAGAATACAGGAACAAAAGTAATAATCAAAGAACAAAAGCAATGTGAAAAGGATTATGGTCTAGAGACGGGGGTAAAACGTCATCTCGCTTCAGGCTTATTGAGGCGAGTGCACTCTCGCAAAGCCACCCTGTTCTGTGTACTATCTAGCTAGATAATCCAATTTCAACCCATCTGGACTCACATTGGTGCTCCCCAGAGTGAGGCTAGAGGGGTTTAGAATTTGCAACAAAAACAACATTGATTACTTTATGATATCCCACATGGTAGAAAATGGCTGTTGTTCATTAAGCTAACTTTCCTTCGACCACAGGAAATTAAGGCTGCTATAGAATGAAATAAACGATTCAGCTCTAGCTTGCTTGGCAAAGTGAATCAGTATTGATTCCAACCTGTTTCCTCAAGGAATAGTATCAAAATAAGAAAGGAATTAACGCTTTTCGATTCCTCGGATAAAGGTCTCTCCCTGCAAGACCATCAAACTCCATTAAGTATGCTTTGTGCTTCTTGTGAGCATAAATAAACAGGGTAATTGCGCTTGCAGTAAGAAAGACAACAGCAGCAAGTGTCCATGTTGTCAGCACGAACCCTACCCATGTTACAATCTCGAAGAAATAGTGTGGACATGAAACTAGCTCAAATAAAAACCCCGATGGTATGACATGCTTTGATTCTTTGGACAAAAAGCTTCTGCGCTTTGCTTTACGGAACGATCGAAGTAGATAGTGACAGTAGCAGTTTCCGAATTCTCCAATGATGAACAAGACACCCCCCACTGAAGCCATTGGTAAATAAGTAGGATGATAACCATTTTCACTGCGTACTGCAGCACCGTTCCAGAATGCGAAAAACCAGTAGTAGAGCGGAGCTCCAAGGCTTTCTGTGAAGCTCATCTTTCTCTTGTAGTCGTGGACGAAGAGGACCTCTATTGTCCTTCGTAGGAAATGGAGTTCCCATAGACCAATAAAGAGGTATTTGAGGTTCTCTTCTTGTGCAAATGTGGAATCAGTTGGACCTGGAAGAAGGCATCCAGTCGCTGGGAAGTAATGAAGTTTAATTTCTCGGACGAAAGCAGCAACTAAGAAGGCTGCCATGGTACCAATGTAGGTAAGTGCGTTGATAAATACAGGATCGCAGCCTTTTTGGGGGCTACGAGATGGACCTTCTTTCATCGTCGCCATCATATGATTTGAGCATAAGAATACCACAGCAAGCCCATAAGATAGAAATTCACTTCCGTTTCCCAAGGAAATGCGATTTGCTATCCAGTTACAAGCTTTCCCCAAGTCAAAAGAAAATATTTCGGCCATTTTTGGACCGTTAGTAGATCCTATTGAGAAAATTTTTCTCCTCCCCCAAGATGCAGCGATGACATAACAAGCAATCGAAGAATGTTAGGGACTACAACCGTGTGTTAATATTCCAGTGGCCTTTACTTCAGTCACCCCTAATCTGTCATTTAAATCCTGACCCTCACATCATGAACACCACATTCATTCATTCATTCATATACATATATATATACTTCCAACCAAAACTTATTTTTGTTCAATATTTATTTTCGTAAAAGCATAATGAAAAAATTATGATACAATGTAACTTGGTCAATAATGTGAATAAGTTATAGAAGCATGCGGTTATATTTACAAATTTCTAGTATGTTATGCGTGCAAAATAATAGGTCTCAAGCTACTTCTACTACAATCTTCTTTTGCTCGTTTTTCTGTTTTGTTTTGTACACCTCTAACATCAAGTTTTTCAAATATTCTATTTCTTTACTGATTGATGCCATTTGGTCTGTCAAGTCAGCATTTTCCTTCTCTTTTTCTTGAAGTTCGTCAAAAAGCCTTTCTTGCTCGCTTCGTTTTTTTACACGGTATCTTGTGGCAGCAACTTTATTCTGCACACGTTTTCTCTGCTTTTGAGCTGGACTTTTGACTTTTGGTTTGGTGATGGGGCTATTTCTAGAGTATGGTGTTTCTCTCTTGGATGCTTTGCTGTGTTTGTCAACCAGTGATCCTATCTGCTTACTGGGAGAAATAGATGAAGTGCATCTGGAGTCATCAGTCAGGAGGTCAGTCAAGGACACAGTGCTCTCACTACTAGAATCCGAGTATGGAGAGCATGGTGATGATTGACTGGAGTCCTGTGATGTCACACATCCTGGAGAAACAGCACTATCAACACTGTAAGGAGAAACAGCCAAGAACTCAGGAACCTTCTGTTCAGGTGTAGTTGGCATGTCTACAGGAATTAATAATTGTTCTTGACCCATGGGGTGGGCTAGAAGTGCATTGTCTAACTCAACTAGAGAACTTTCCAGCTCCGTGCTTTCAACTTGAGACAGTTCTTCAAATGTTTCACTAGTGGTTGCCAAACCTGGATCAAAACTACTGAAGTCAAACTTTTGAGTCAACCAGTCTGTTTCTAAGAGTTTATCTCCACCTGAGAAGGTAATGACAATTCCAAATTAATACAGCAACCCAGAAATTCTCTTCAAAATGTTCAATGCTCTTTCTGTTGACCATCTTTATAACCAGCACTAGATGTGCTTGCAAGTAAGTGTTGTAAAAATGTGACAGGCATGTGATGCAAGGCAATTTAAAATAGCGTGATGCAATAGGTCATAGTCGAAGCATCAGCTTTTTTTTTGCCGACTCATTCTCCTGGGGAAGGGGAGGGGCGGAGAATAGCACCATAAATAAAATAACATTCCGGTCTCAAATTTCATAGAATAACATAGAAACCAATGAAAAAATCACAAACCTTACCTTCAAAATTCAACTCCTGAAGGATATCGTCAGCCGAAAAATCCTGGCTTGCATCTTTGATTACGGTATTTCCTTGTAACACGTCATCAATGTCGCTACCGAACTCCGTCGACAGAGGCAGAGAGATGTCTAACGATGGAAAAAATTCCATCTCCTCTGCGGAAAGAAGATCTGCAAATTCTATAATTGTATTCATCTTGGTTTTCTTCGTATGTGTCCTCGCCATTAATAAATCTTAATCTTATATAGTGCAAATGGATTCTGTCTTTGGTGTGGGCTCTGAAAATGAACGAGTGCATTATGATTAGCTTTTCGTCGGCTGTAAATCAATCTATAAAATTGTACAAAAATACGATAAATTCTGTCTCAATTTCCTCGATCTTGGTAGGGAGTTAAAAGTTAAAAATCGAGTTGAGTTTTCTCTAAAGAATGTAACGATGAGATTCGAAGAATGTGTAGTTTTGGAAAGTAAAAACTAAGTCGTTTGAACACAAACACATGGTTGTAGCCACGCTTTCCGCATGAAAGACTTCGCCGTATATCTTCGCTTAGAAAACGAATTTTTCAGTCCGATTTTTCTAGTAAGAGACCACAAATTGAATAGACAAGACATTGAAAAGGTAAGATACTTACGCCATGGTTAAAACGTAGCAATAAATGCCTTAGAAGTTTACACTTTCCGCATTTACTCCGCCATTTTGAAAGGATGATGAAATCTAGTGAAAAGAAAACGTGTCATGAGTCTTGTAGCCGTGGCTGATGCAATACCTGCCAATTCGTCATCATTCACCAATCACAACCCAGGATTTATATAGACTGACCAATCACAACGCGTTCTTAACCTGAAGAACCCAGTTAAGTGACGCATGTGGAACAGGTTTTATCTGGTTTTACGAGTTTTTATGGTGGACTTTGGCCTTCATTGTGTATTCAGAGATCCGCCTTCAAATATATTCTCTTCTTCACAAGGCGCCCACGTGAAATAATTTCTGATTTTAATTCTCAAACCAAGGAAAACCCCTTCAAATTAAATTTCAGCCCTTTTAAATTCCTTATAAACTCTAATTTTAATTCGTTCTTTTATATTAATCCTGACTTAACTTTTTTCCCGACAAAAAATATGAATAAAAGTATATCTATTTGCTCTTAAAAAATATGAGTTATGGAATCAAAGGTTGTTACTATGTCAACAGCGGATTCATAACGAAGAGTCACGAAAAAAGAAAACAAAAATTATACATGGGAAGGGAGGGAGAAAACTTTACATCTTTAAGTGGGGAGGGGAGGAGATAAACGCATAGGGGAGGGGAGGGGAAGCAGCTGTTTGCGAAATCTCAAATTGGGTTACCTGTGTACTTCCTCCTTCCTCTCTAAATATTTCGCCGCCATTGTGGATCAACGAAAATTGATTCTTTTCCCCCTCAGCAATAATAAGTACAAGGGTTTGGCCCTTCGAATGCTAGCAAAGTGCGTAGTTTTATAGAAGAGTCCAAGAAATTTCCCTTCGAACGATTTTTTTTCGCAAGTCGAAGAAGCGAAAAATCACGATCGACAATTCACATGGTCAAAACTAAACCACAATATTTTACCAACGGTATTAGATAGTTTTACTTTGTTTACAAGTTAAAAATTCATACGACTACAGAAAAAGAAGAAATGCTGGTTGGAAGAACCGTTTGAGTGAGTAACTAGTAAAAAGATGTCGTCGTGTGAAGTGATGTCTTCACGAATGGAGCAGTTTTCAAAGGACAATTCAATTACAAGTAAACTTGCCGACGACCTAGACGCTAAACTATCCACTTCTTCCAAGCAAGTGCTTCTGCAGCGTATCGAATTCAAGGCGGCTTCAAAGCCAGACGAACAATACGAGAGATTGAAACATAAATATCAACCCTTGAACTCATCAACTTCACACGTGAATCAAGGTTTTGTAAACAATGGTCACGATAATTCAACTCCCGACAACGAAGATTTTCCTGAACCAAAGCGCATTTTGTGTTCTGAAGACAAGGTTAACGTTCAGTGGGAGAAAATGAGGCGAGTTGGTCCTGGTTTAAGTAATTTGGGGAACACATGTTACTTGAACTCTGTTCTCCAAGTGTTGACTTACACTGCCCCCCTGGTGAATTTTTTGTCAACACAGGAACACGCCAAGGAATGTAAGTAAAGAAACACAATGTAACTAATAGGCCTTGTAGTTAATTATTGTAACCCTTGCTTGGCCGGCTGAGGATTTCCTATTTTGGCTAAAGGATTTCCATTGTATTAGATCAATGCCATAAAACTTACCCCCCCCCCCAGATTTTCCATTCTCCTGTAACAGCAAGGCATATCTGATCAACTTGTACTCATTTTGCCTTAACATAGCTGTCATTTATTAGAGCACGGGGAATTACCAAACGTTTCAGGGAACTACAGTACTTTGTTGCAGTAATGAACTCACCTCTAGGGTTCTTCCGATAGTTCCCTGGACTCTGCATCACATGTGAATAGAGTTTATGGGGTCTCTCCCTTGATTTGAGGGTTTTTCTACAGGCTATTTTATTTTCCTTCCTCTGCAAAACCTAACAAGCTAAATCCCAATTTGTTCTATGAGAACTAATTCATGCCCTTACTGTAGATCAGCCCTTCTCAACTGATTAGTGATTAGCGAGTGGTATACTTGGATACAGTGCTGTCTCTCACCACTGTGTAGTTTGTTCAATGTGTTGTTTTGTCTCTGACCACAAGGGTTTTTCTCCAGTTTATTTTTTTCCCTCTATCCCAATCAACTTTTGAGTTGAGTGTTGTATGTTGTAAATAGTGAATTAAGTAGTAGTGCATGTGGAGCAAACCCCATGACTGGTAATAATATTTGTAGATTATAAGTTTTCTATGACTACCAAGTTAATTTATGGTATTTTTGTGTTTCACAGGCAGGGCTGTTGGATTTTGTATGATGTGTGAATTGCAGCGTCATGTCTTAAGGACATTTAATCATCACCAAAATGAATCCATCAAACCACTTGCTATCATACAAAAGCTTCGAAGTAAGTAACCACTGATCTATGCATATTACTCTGATGGAAAATGTTTTGGGCTTGCTGTGGATGTAATGGATGTTTTTAATGCAGTCCACCTGTCAATTCTTTAGAGTATCATTTCTTTGTTTAACGGTTGTGCATGAGAAAACACATGAATATGGGTATAACTTAAACAAAGTATCTTGTGCTCAAGAGAATGACACATGGTCTGTGATGGGAAATCATTATGCCCATGGTAAAGAGGTGTATTTTGTGACCCTCAGAGGTTGGGCATAAGAAAAGCAGTAAGAGGTTGGTTTAATAAAAAAATTAGATGCAGCATACCAACAAATTGGAAAGGTTTTGTTTGCTATTCAGGGCCGTAACCAGGGGGGAGCACATGGTGCACGTGCACCCCCCCCCCATAAAAGCTTAAGGTCCGCTCATCCATCTCCTTTTTTTTGGCTCTGCAAATTATTGTCTGTGCACCTCTCTGCAAGATCCCTAGTTACGCCACTGAGTTGGTAATAAAAAAAACGATCAATGGTCCGATTTTATTTGATGTGCACCCTCCCTGTAAAAGTTCTGGTTACGGCCCTGCTATTCTGATTGATGGCTGTATATTTTTATCAGATATTGCAAAGCATTTAAGATTTGGCCATCAAGAAGATGCTCACGAGTTTCTGCGATATGTCATTGATGGTTTACAGAAAAGTACTCTCAATGGCTTACCTGAAAAGTAAGTTCTTTACTCCAATCTTATAGTGTGCGATATATCATGGATATGAAGGATAGACATTAGACCCCTCTGCCACATCACAAAAAATTGAGAACATACCTCCCTCAGTCCCTCTATGTACTCTCCCTCTCTTATTTCTGGAACTAAACAATGTATCCTGTTTCAATCCTCCCCAACCCCTGAAAATTCGAATCCACTTCTGTGGGGGGGTCAGGTATGAATAATAATAATAATAATAATCATCACCATCACCATCACCACCTTCCTATCACCATCACCATCATCATCTCTGGAACCACATATTTCCCATACATCTAACCTAGAGCTGAGATTTTTTATGATAATTTTATTTCACACATATTTTCTGTTTTTACGAGTTTGACTGATTTTACTTGTTTAACAGACTTGATAGGGCAACCAGAGAAACAACGCTCATCCATAGAATATTTGGTGGCTACTATAGAAGCCAAGGTAAGCTTTTTATGGGCACAAAAATTAGGGGTGGTGTAGTGGTAGTACACTCACCTCTCTTTTCTGGGATCTCAGCTTCAATTGCAGGACTTGGCATCACTTGTAAGCAGAGTTTTTTGGGTCTCTCCATTGATTTGTGGTTTTTCCCATTTTCTCAGGTTTTACTCCTTCTGCAAAACCTAACAAAGCTAGCCATTTAGACCTTTTTGTTGTTATTTCTTGTACAGTTCGATGTCTAATGTGCCAAAATACATCAAACACCTTTGATCCATTGATGGAAATCATGCTTGATATTAAGGTATTTATCCTAAATTATTATGCTTTCTATATTTGTTGACATTGCAATCAGTCATACTTACTATGACACAGGAGAATGAGTTGCTAGTTGAACAATAGGCCCACACTCTTTGCTTATAGACAGACAGACTTTTTTTATATGCACTAAAGTCTCTAACACCCCCCCCCCCCCCCCCCATTACCAGACTTCTGCACTTATGTATCCTAGTGTATTATTTTTTCCAAACTTAGCTACCCACTTCTTAAGTGCTCCTCAGTCCTTGTGAGTGCCTTTTAGGGGAATGGTGCAGTTATCCCTCAAGTTCCTCTACTCTGTCATTGGCTTAGCAGCTCAATAGACTCTTTTATCACTTCCACAGCATTCCCCATCTGTTATCCGTGCACTGCAACGTTCATGCAAGCCAGATCGTCTTGACGGAGACAACTCATATTACTGCTTAAAGTATGTACATGATTCTGAATAAGCTGATTAATATCAGTCTTTGTAGGTAAAGGAGGCAGCTGTTTTCTGAAATGTTTTTGGATATTTATTTTTAATTTGTAATGGTTTTTGATAATGTTCATTAAAGGTGCAAAAAGAAGGTCCCTGCACATAAGCAAGTATTAATACATCGACATCCAAGTATTCTTACTCTTCAGCTGAAAAGGTAGGAATGATACTATGTGATGATTGTGATGATGGTAATGGTAATGGTAATGATAATGATGTTGGTGATGATGATAATGATTACTGTGGTGATAATAAAGATGATGATGCATTGATTATGATGCATTGATGACTATGATACATTACAATAAACTTTATTTAAAGAGGGTGACACAGTAACCCAGTGAGTTATCTAGCTTATGGCCCTCATGATGGTGATGATGAGGATGATGATATTATCATAATGATGGTGGTGTTGATAATGAAGATGATGGTGAGGGTAATGGTGATGGTGATGGTGATGATAATAGTGATGATGTTGAGACAATGATGGTGGTGTTAATAATAACTATAGCAAATAGGTTTGTTTATTATCCTTACATTTCATTCCTGATAGCTGTTCTCATCCTTCCTTCATCCACAGGTTCGACTCCAATCACATATTTGGTGGTAAAGTAACAAAAGAGGTTCAATATACTGAATACCTTGACCTGAGGCCCTTCATGACCAATGCAAAGGTAGATATTGTATTCTGGTAACAATCTGTTAATCAAAGACCAAAACCCTAAGCAACTCTTGGATTTGATAGTGGTGGTAGTAGGATTTGTTCTTGAATAGTGCTTTCAGATTTCCCTTGAAGTATTGAAGTTCTTAACAAGAAATAAAAGTGGAGGGGAGGGTTCTTAAAAAACGATTTTTGAAAAGTCATATGTAACATATTACTGCACGAAATTCTTTTCTACTGAAGGGAGTGTCCAAGGAGATGTGTAGGTGCTTTTAATCATCTTTCATTTCCTTCTTTTCTCTTCCCATCAACCGTTTATTTGTAAGGGGAGAACTTGGCTGGCATAGCATTGAAAGAACTCGCCTTTCACCAATGCTACCTGGGTTTGAGTCCTGCTGGGCTTGGTGTTGTATGTGAAGAGAGTTATTTAATGGTTCATTCCTGTGCTTCAAGGTTTTTTCTCCAGGTTCTCTAGGTTTTTTCCCTCTGCCAAAATCAAATCCCAAATCAAATCCAAATTCTAATTCAATCTAACAGTAGCTTATTGAATGGGTTGCAAATCCTGTTAGGCTTTCCATCAAAAATGGAATAGTAATCCATTAGATTTTCTCTCTTGGTAAATCCTGAATATGCCCCTGGTCACTTGGGTTTGATATGCCGCCTGTCATCATAATATAGTAATGATAAAAGGGTAAATTTTACACTGAAAAGATGATAAAACTCTGACGAAGGACTAGCATCCGAAACGTCAGTGAGTTTTTTCATCTTTTCACGGTGTAAAATTTACCCTTTTATCATTAGTGTTTTAATAGAAACACTGACGCAGCTCACACTAGTTTTTAGCTAGTTATCTCTTCTGTAATCATAATATAATTAGTTAATTAAGACACATCTTGATGAAAGAAAATGATATAGTCTTCATGGGTGAAATAAAATAACCTCTCTCTCCCCCAAATTGATAGGGTTCACCTCTAAGGTACAGACTGTATGCTGTATTAGTTCATTCTGGTTACTCAAGCAATTCTGGACATTACTACTGTTATGTTAGAGCATCCAACAACTGCTGGTACAATATGAATGATTCTGTGGTGAGTAGATGATGTATTGCAAACCTTTATGCCTCAATTCCTTAAAATTTAGCATAGTGTAATAAAAAAACACTTCCCTCCCAACTCTGCGGTCTATGCTTTGATTACTGGGCTTGGCATCGCAAGTGAGTAGAGTTAGTTAACAAGGAATTTTCTCCAGATTCTCTGGTTTTCCTCTGTCTGAAAAACCTTTCCAGCTAAACTGCAATTTTATCTGCTACTTGGTCATGTCCTGACTTTCATCAGCCAAGAGGTTGTTTTAGGGTTTGATCTTTAAGTTACTCATGCCCTGACATTAATCAGCCCAAAATTGTTTCAGGGTTGGATCTGTAAGTTGGCTATGCCCTATTTTCAATCAACCAAGAGGTTGTTTGAGGATTCGGAAAAATTTGAAGGTCTAAAAGTGACAACCACTATAATTTCGTACCCTGCTAGCTAAATTTAAACTAAGGTGATAAATATATAATGATTATGTTACAGGTTCGGCAAGTCAGTCTCAGCAATGTTCTCTCTCAACAAGCGTACCTCTTGTTTTACTCCAAGGTTTCCCAAAGTACAGCAGAGCAGGTGAGATAATCTTGTTTTCCTGTGTGGGAACTCCAACCAGAAACGCTCTACTAAAACTAACCAATCGTGGTGGGGAATAATTCCAATTGAGCCAATTGCCAGGACATTAGAATGGGAGGAGGGGGTTGTATTGACCATTTTAATGGTGCAGTGATGTTATAAAGTGGTAGAGAAGGGGAGATCGCTTTTTTACATTAACCATCTCTGGTGACAGGCATGGAATTCTAAGATGTTGTTAACAACTTGTGGCAATGAAACAGTGTAATTGTACGTGGTCAGTAATTATGCTACTGTTTTATTGTACATCATGATTGGTTACTTATGTACAATGGCCTTTTTTGAAGTGTCGACACAGTAGTTGCCCTTTTCATTTACTTCACTTTCCTGTGATAACATTTTTGCTCTTTTTGAGTAGTTTTAAGTATTTTAGTTGTGGCTCATTTTCAATTTTCTTTCTACAGGAAAAGAAACCATTTTCTCCAATAGCCACAAAGCCATCAGGTTTTCAGAGTGGAACCTCTTTTCCAAAAATCATCAAAGAAAATGGTAAGTTTGTAATCTCTTGTGCATTGTTCGAAGTAAATAGGGTTCTTGTGAGCATGAAAAACACAATTATGTAAAAATGTTGCATTGTAACTAAACCCTTAGTATGGGTTTCAGTGTCCTGCTTGGCAGACATTTCTTCTTTCTCTCCTTTCCTTCTCTTGAAGGAGAAACAGAAAATCTCTGCCAAGTAAGGTGGGGTTTCTAGTGATGTAAATTCTCTGTTCCTCTGTTCCCAATCTTATCCAAATGTTGTATTCTCTATGAAAAATGGAAATAAATGGGATTGAATATGAAAAGAAAAAAACCTATGAAAAGGATTCTCTGTGTTTAACGGAAATAGAGAATGATTAGCAATAAATTAACAAAATGAAATTTCTATTTCATAGATGTTGGTACTCCAGTTGCACGTAATGGCATCCAGTCCAAAGGTATTTCCACACCAACTTCAACCATTACCAAGGCAACGGTGACCACACCCAACAGCCCATCAGTCATCCCTGTCGGTCAAAGACAGAAACTCAGTTTTACGCTGAAAACCTCAACTAAGGTTTCTGCACAGCCCACGAAAGTTAAAGAAGCATCAAAACACTTGGATGGCAAAATGCAAGAGGAGGTACCCAAAAACCTAGGTGTCGTGTCGACCAAGAGTGATAAGTCAAAGGATGGTCCTTTGAGTTCTACAGAATCTTCTGTCACTACAAAACAAGAACAGAATAAAGAGGATAATAAAGAAATCCCAGGGACGAAGGCACATTTAAAACCACCAGAGCCTGTTGAAGTAAGCTTTCCTGTCAGAAAAGATGCAAAAGATCAATCACCTACCAAGAAGACAAGACCAACACCGCTGTTTATTCCAAGGAGTGTGCAAGCCAAGGATGTGATGAAAGAATCCAAATCGACTCCAAATCAAAGTGAGTGAAAGAGAACAGAAAACTTTTCCTTGAGGGAGGGTGACAATTGATAGAAGCATAGGGGAACAGGCAAGGAGGTGCATATATATGAATATGGGCATAGGCAAGCAGATGGGTATGTGTGGGTGTAGGCAAGAAGATAGGTATGGAGATWTTGCAATTGTAAATTCCCAGACTTATACTCATTCCTCTTTGATGGGCTTATAACAGGGAGGGCTTATAACTGGGGAGCGTGTAACATACTTTAATGTGCTTCAAGAAGTACATAGAAGATTCCTGAAGTGGGCTTATGACTGAGAGGTAGGGTTGCACTTATAACCAGGATTTTACATTATGTGGATGGGAGTATAGGTATGAGTATACTGTATAGGTATATATTTACACCCCCGTGTTTGTTTTAGGTACAAGTGATACTTGTATGACATCACCAGCCAAGGCAACGACCCCTTGGAAGGTCACGCCCATGCCACCTCAGTTCAACAATAACCACATATATGGACCAATGTCCCCACCCCCCAAGGGCACACCTATTCCTCAGCCATCTCCTTCATCTCTTAAGTCAGATGCTAGCAGCACCTCGAGCATTATGGGTAAAACAGGGGACTGGGCTGTCAAGGACAAAAAGCTGCCGACTCCTGGTCCAAAACTTCCTGAGCGACAACATGCGGGTTGGACCGTGAGTGAGAAGTCTGGTACCGAAACAAGTACAGAAAATAATGATGATGTAAGAGACGACGAAGACTGGGTTGAACGTTCTCCCGAGGACAAAAGAAATGCGAAGAAGAAGAGAAAAAAGGAAAAAAGAAAAACGAAAGAGAAAAATCAAAAATTAGAATCCGAAACCAACAAAGAGGAAGATAAGAAAGAAAGCAAGGAAAACACAGAGAAAAAGAAGAAAAAGCAGAAACACAAAAAGAAGAAGAAGAAAGAAAAATCTAAGGAAAAGAAAGAGCTTTTGGGAGAAGAACCATCTTCGGATGAGAAAGAGAAAAACAAAAAGCACAAAAAGAAAAGCGAAGAGGATTCAAAGGAAAARCCACGAAAACTGGTAGATTACAGCAGCGATGAGAGCTCTCATTCATCCAGTCAACATGAGAATGCGAAGAAAGATCATAACCAAAATGAAAAAAGCTTTCCCAAGAAAGAGAAAAAAGGTAAAACTCGTTGCCTTTTGATTAATTGATTTTCGAGTCATGGGCACAGCCCCTTTTTTCTGATTCTTTACGGGGGGAGGGGTGCGGAGAGTCTGCATGAACGACAGTCGAATTTCTGTTAAGCATCCACCCTTGGGGAATAGTCAAGTGGTCGCTAAATAGAGGTTGATCGCTTTAATAATAAAGGTATAGCTAACTACAAAAACCCTCTTTGGGACATACTACTGGCCGCTAGATAGAGGTTGGCCGGTTAATGGAGGTATAAATTAATGTAAAGCTCTCTTGAGACTTTGATTACTGGCCGCTAAATAGAGGTTGGTCGCTTAACAGAGGTCCTAATGTAACATGAATCATTGGTATTCCCAGAGGTTCCAGTAGTAGTTTATGACGGAGATCGACAGGATAAACCCAGAAGAACCACGTGGGATGGATCACGTGATACTTCAACTGTCAATCAACTTGAGCGTGGCAAGGGATTGGCTGGTTATGGTGCAAATGGTAGGTATCTTCCTTTTTAAATTCATTTTCCCTAATATCATTTTTTTACGAGAGTGTACTATTAGCCTTCTCCCCAACCACTAACTTGGGGGCCTTATGCGACTTATGGCGCTACGAAAAATGATTATGATACCTAATGTTAATAAGAATGTTAGCACAAAAATATGCGGTATTTACAGAATTTTTTTACGCTTTCTAAATCCGTCGTCTCCGATTTGATAAGAACTACATGTTTTTTTCGTTGATTTTCCGATCATGCACAGTATGATCACGTTTTTCTCCAGTGTTAATTCAAGTCGCTGTCATGAATATCTTGTCTCTTTGATGATATACATTGTTCTCGTTCTTGTCTCTGAGCCCACGTTCCTTTTGATTCCTCTTCGTTTCCATGGAAAAGAACAGCAAATCCAGTTACCACTCTTTTCGGCTATTAAAACAGTAAGACGCCTCAAAAAAATTAAAATAAAACTAGATTTGAAAAATTACTTGGAGTCGCTTATACACTTTACTTCCTTTCTTGACGGAGACCAAAACGAATGCAGGCTCAATGCAGGCTCTAGAAACTAGACTGAGACTGTGAATATCCTTGTGTTTAGTATCATCATGGGAAGGAGGCCAGAGTCACGTGGATAGTTATGATAACGGTGATAACTCAGGCGGAAGCAGAAAAAGACGGCATGATTCCTGGGACGAAGAGTTGGATAAAGGAAAGGTCAGTCACGGATACCCTCTATTACACAGGGATCCCACTTGAATAAAACAATGTAAATAGACTTCTTGCACTAATATCCTAATCTTGCCGTCTTGGGTCCTGCGATCATTACCTGCAAATGGAGCCAATATTTTCCATTGTTTTGACCCTCGGGTCGAAATTTAGTTCAAGGGGTCCTTAGAAATGTCGTAAAGTATATAGAATGTTATCGAACTTGTGTCGTTTTTTTAGCTGGGACAAAAACTGCAAGTCGGTTACTTGGCCACATTTTATCTTTCTCACATGATTTTCCTTCATCTCGCATCTCGTCTTCCGCTTGTATATTAACAGTATGGACTACCTAAAGTGGGCTTCCTTGTTCATTTTCTTGTTACTAAATAGAGACATTAAAAATAAAACACGAAGAAATGAACCCTCCCCACCCCCCGGAAAACCTAAGGATATTAAATGATCGTAGGAAACCACATTATTTACAGGTTAAGAAAGTTAAAGACAAATCCAAACAAGACAGATTTTCTACTGGGACAAACTTTTTTCAGAGAGAACACGACAAAAGAAATAAGAAGGTTAGGGAATATTGCTAACACTAGTTAGTTTTGTTGTTTCATCTCATTTATTTGTTTCTCATATCAAAGCTGTGCTTGAATTATCTGTCTGTCTGTCCCGCTGTTCATGTGTTTCTGTCTGACCTTCTGTACGGTTATGTATCTGGCTGTCCATCCGTCCATTCGCCTATCATCTTGTGTGTCTGTCCGTCTGACACTGAAAGCGGCTGTGGGGGAGACTATCCGCACCCCGGCTAACTTTTTTTGATCGTCACTTGCCCTTTATTCATTCTATTTGTATTTTTTATCTCATTCTCTTTCTTCTTAACAGTACGCCATTTTCATGTATTACGCAATACTTTATTACAGGGACTGTCGGAGAAGATCACTAGTCATTTCTCAAGAAGACACTCGACCCATTCGCGAACGCACGCAGGGCGTAACTACCGTCGATTCTAAGCAATTCCACCACCACGTGGTAACACAGCCAAGACTAGGAGGCTTAATCAATCAATCAATCGAATCAATCCGTTCTCAATTCATTACTTAATCACGAACTAGCGTCATTGAATAATTTACATGTAATGAAAATTGTAGGGAAAGGATGGCTTATCATTTCCATCCATTTAATAATATATGAAACGCAAAATATGTTGCTATGGAGATAAATATGTTTTACATTCAGTTGGTCCCAGATGACCCGTCTCAATCCATTCCCCCAAGGAACCTGAGACTGAAGGCCAGTTCTCTGGAGATAACTATAACCAAACTAATAACTTTACAGTCGTTAAGTAATATCTGTACGTGACACGGTAACTCAATAACTCATTTTATTGCATTTGGTTGCATATGCCGTTCGTACAAAGAAGCGGACACTTAGGAAACTAGTGGTGAATGGTCGGGACAAGTAAATCTGCTTATTCTCTCCCCTTGTAAGGCTCAATCCATCAAAAGTGCCCTTTGAAAGCATCTGAAATTTCACTCAGTAACAGTTCACCAACTCGCACGTGACGTCTTATCCGCTGCCATTTTGGATTTTCAACTTCGTTTATCATCCAACATGGCGACCGTATAACAATAGAAAAGATTTCTTTATATTGGCTCGTTTGAACAAAATATATACTCCACTAAACACATACTCGACAGCTATACATTTGCATACTTATTAAAAAAGGAGTTTTCATCCACTTTTTCAAAATTTCTTCAATATTACTCACCACAGGAAGCCCGTAAATAGAATTACTGTATATTCTAATGAAAATTTTTTAAAATGTTTTTGAAGCAAGTATTGCATTGACTAAAGTATTTAGAATCAAGGAACAGGATCATAGTTCCTGAATAATGTAAATACTGTGAAACTTAACATATACATGTAATCATTTCACTATTTCAAAATTATCATTAATTTTGTAATAAATTATCGCAACTATCTCTCTCAGATTTTGTTTTATCTACTTAAGTTTGTATTATCCAAATAAAGTCGTATAACTCAGAAATTTGAATGCTTTTCAGTGGTTTTTATGTGTACATGTTCACCACGTGAGGCTTCTTTATCATACCTATTTTTGTTAAACAATAAGTAGCACAGTGAAACTGCAAAGAAAGTTTCGTTATGATGAAGCTGTATCAGTTCAGTTGGTATTCAGATGCAAAACAAACAAATTACCTATTATGTTAGAGCTGTTTTCACGACATGTCTCCAGATTCATGGGTGATACAGTATTTAGGGTAAGGAGGTTCGGGGGGGGGGGGGGAGAAAGAAAGAAAGAAACAAACTGCTACTGAAAGATTGGTTTGGCTACCTTCTTTTCTACGGTTTTGGATTCTGTCAGTCAAATTTTTTCTAATTCGCACTGTTGAAGGTTGATGGATGGAAGGGAGTACAAGTAAAAATGCTAGCTCCTTCATTCAAACTAAAACTGCTAGTTTTTGCTCTAGCACAAGTGAAAAAGGTTGTAAACCAAAACCGTAAACCGTATAATTTCAGAAGCACCAATGCGCTTTCTTCCTCGAGCCGATAGCCGAGGGCGGTTTTGGAAGAGCGCATCGCCCCGAACACCTCAAAACTGCAAACCCTTTCCAACGTTTCTGAGTATGAAACCATTGCCTTGGGGGACTTCAGTTATACCAAATAATAACTTAGCTTGTCGAGACCTAGTCGGCTAGGCTTAGGCTGTCAATCAATTTGTATGGACTTTTTGATAGGTCGATTCTCTTGAAATACCTCGTTGATATAGCCGTTGAATGGCGTCCTCATTATTGTAGCTAGTAGGATTGTAAATCGGCCGGTCATTATTTCCTAAATGTTTATTATAAACGATTTCTTACTCCGACGAAGGACTAACGTCCGAAACGTCAGTTTAACAAAGCTTCTTGCGGTGATTCAATTTATCCATTATAAGTTCCTATCGATTTTTGGGACCGATCTGTCATCACAGTGGATGCCCCTATTGTTTTATCAACCAATCAGCAACCCGCACTTCCCCACACGTGATCTGCTCAACCGCTTCACGTAACGCCTAACGGTAGCTGCTCTTATCACTTGTGTTCGCTGTCACCTGTTCATCTAGCTTCTTTTACTCTCCTCTTATTCTCTCTAATCTTAACTCTTTTAGCTTAAAAATCTACTCTCATCTTCCTTCGTTTTTAAGCTAAGTATTACAAATGAAAATCAAAACTAGAAGTATCTGTGTCAGACGCACACGAAGCTCATTCAGAGCGCGTCCACTGCTCTCTTTACCGGAAGAAGTCCTTCTACTTATTCTCAAGTTTTTACCTGCGAAAGACCTTACAAACTTAAGATTGGTAAGTGTGAGATATTTAGAGCGTATTGTCTGAAGGTATAGACAATGTAATGCATAAATAAAWTTTTTTTTATGTGTTTATAGTTGTGATGGAACTTGAGTTTGCGCGTTGTTGACCGTTAAGAACCGTTGACCTAGTAGCGTCTTCGAATGATTATTAACCAATTTTTTTTAAATTAACAGGTGTGCTCAAGCCTCAAAAACCTTATAGATACTTCTTCTTTTCTATGGTTAACAGTTTCTTTTCCTGGCATCTGGCCTTCTCCAAGAAATCTTGGTATTTTGGAAAGGTTCGTTGAAAGACGCGCTCTCTGACTCGAAAGTCCCGCGCGTCGCTTTGCGGTTTGCTGTGGCCAAAAGAATTTTAACGGTTATTTTTATTTTCATTCATTTTAGAGCTGCAAATGTTGGTAATATTGAAGCATTAATCAAGATAGGACTTGCTCATTTGTATAATGAAGGAAGTAAGTGGTTTGTTTTTCTTAGGAAGCACGCAAAATACATTTTGATCAGCTCTTGGCCAGTAAATCCAGTAATCGTTTAGCGCGGTTTTTAAATTTTTGTTTACGTTTGTACGCAAAGTCCTGCTGTTTTAGACCACATTCAGTTCAAACCTTCGACCTTTTCCCAGCCCTAATAATACTCAATGTCATTTCTAAGTCGTATTACTTATATTCTTTCTGATCCGTTATTTTTGAAACGAATAGTTGCGTGACATGTTTCATGTAGCTGAAGCCTTGGCGTACGTACGTTACATAAATATTCACGTGAAAATTCGAACTCATTACAATGAAATTTTTATAAAAATTCTCTTTGGCAGTTTGTAAGGGAATACGTTACCTTTTGAGTTTTATCAGTTACATTATAGTTTACATACTATATCAATAAACGAACAGTACTCCTATGAGAGTATATTATAATAGCCATGACTGACCGTTAAAAATTCCATTGTTTCCCTTTAAATGGACTTCATTCAAAAACTTCTTTCGAGTGTAAGGGAATGCTTGAACAAAACTACACGAATAATCCCTCAAATTACTTAAAGAAAAGTGTGATATCTATTGTGTTTTCCTGAAAGCTTTTTTTTTTAAGCAAATTTGAGAAGAAAATCTGTTGCTTGTTTTGATTTTTTTGGGGGAGGGGAGGGGGTATTCTCCTTTCTTGAAGATTTGATATTTTCATGCCTTTAGAGGAAAATAATTTCTCTTTACTATTTCCTCCAGTTACGGAAGACAAACGTAATAGCACCAATAATGCACAAGTGAATGGCAAAATTGCCGCTGAATTGTTCTGCATGGCTGAGAGGTCTCTTGCCAACAGAACTCCATTTACCTGGTTTTTTGTTCGTCCTCCTTGGGCTCCAAGTGGAGTGTGCTGTAAAGCTTGTGTGTTCAAGAATATGTTTGAATATTGTTCTGGCTCTGAGGTAAGTTGGATTGGGGAAAATTTTATTTTTTGCTTCTTTACGAACTTGTTAGTTCAAAAAGTCAGGTCACTAGTTTGGATACTGCATGTGTAGTAAGTGTGTTTGATATGCTGTTCTCTGTCTTGATATCAGATCTTTTTCAAGGTTTTCTTCTCTGGGAAAATCATTGTTTCATCAGGCATATATACAATTAGTTTACTAGTATATCCCAGGTTTTCAATACTAATTTACAATCAAGTAAAAAAGTGGGGGGGNGGGGGGGGAGAAGAACAACTTATTATGAAACTCAATTATTCTTATTAATATTATAATAGCTAAAGTATAATAATAATAATGTTAGCCATGATTCAAATATAAATCATCCAGTTATAAAATTGTTCTTGGTGGTTTTTTTTTACAGGCTAATGACTGTTTGAATAAATCTCTTCTGTACTGTGTTGGAAAAATTATGAGCTTACATCAGGTATGTCTCTTGTATGCAAGTAATCTCAATGCATCAACAGTGATTTCAATCCTATGTCATTTGCTAAAAAATTTGCCACTGATTATTTCATCTGAGAATTGCAGATGAAAAAAATCTTAATCTAATTCAAACTAAAAAAAAATTGTTTATGAAAGGATGCAAACAAGAAGGAAGAAAGTATACAATGGCTAGAAAAAGCCAAGAGTCTTGGATCTTGTCATGCAGCTTTTGAAATCTGGAAACTCAAATCAACTGAACGATCATTGGAACCTTCTTTGACTTTGCAAAGTGTTCGGGAATTGCGTGACATCGCAAGCAGCGGCAATATAGAAGCTCAGCTCATGCTGGCTATGGAATATGCAGCTGGAAATCTTGGAGGTGCTACAAAAGAACAAGTTTCTGAGTTTTTAACTGAGGTAGGTATATTGCTGAGATGATCTTTGCCAGTTTTAAGTTGATTAGTGTTGCTAGCCCTTCGCCCAACCCTTCTTCTTTCTCATATGGGCTTCGGACCAGCCATGGCGGAGTTAAAAAATTTAATTAAAAAGTTGAAAAAAGTCATTGATCCAATACAGGATCAAAAAATGCTCAATTACCAAGAATGGCTGTTTGCAATATGGACTGGCTGAAGAGGTGTCTTGCCCAATGAGTGCCAATTTTGGTTCAACGTTCGTTGACTGGTCATTTTATATAGATTTTTTAATATATTTATTTTGTACGACCATGGGAAATAATACTTATATCTTTTCAATGTGAAGTTTGTTGCAAGATCAAAAGCCATGAATGCACATAGACTGTTTTCATTTCAAACTGAGCTGAACAGCACAATGAGGTAAACAGTTGATCATGAATTATTTCCCAAATGCATAATTTAAAAAAATAATTATTATCTTTCCCTGTTTATAGCCTGCATGGGGCTGCAAAAGGGATTAGGATTAGTAGGGTAGGAAAAGTGTGACCCAGCTACCACCCAATCCTAACTGGGCTGCTTTACAGGGTATGATGGTATGATGATAATATTGAGAAACTACTGGTCACTCACGCAACCTTAAAAGTAAGGGATGGGGAAATGAAATCGATAATATACTGAATATTATATTGCACACTATGTAATAATAATTTTTTTCCTTCAAAGGTGTATTTTAGTAGACTGGCTTGTTGAAGTAGCAGTTATGAAGGTAATTAATATTTGAAATCAATGTTTCCCAAAATATTTTGAAATTTGAGATAATCTAATGCTTTAATATAATATAAAATATATATTTCTTCACAGGATTTTTCAAGTGAAATTGTTCACATTGCTGTCAACTGTGTTGACCAGTTTATAATGAGAAGAAAAGTTCAGAGATCTGAACTACAGCTACTAGGAATCACTTGCATTTTGATTGCTGCAAGGTATGCTTACCTACATTCTTTTGAGAATTAGAATACCCAGCTTACTAGATACACAGTGCTGACGAGGCCCAATACAAGCTGAAACAACTGTCCACGGTTTCTAGTTGAGCTGGCTCATTTTTTACACCACTTGGAGTTGTGAAAGGCCCATTGGCCCTCTTCTTCAGTCATTTCATACAAGGCTTGTAATTTACAGGTCACACGTTCTTATATGATTTCCGAGCCCATCCCACACATCTCATACATTCTTTTGAATAATGGAAACTAGAAGATATCTAAGGAATAAGATTCAAGGGAGCTCTCTAATGGAGTTTGCGCAGACCTGAATATATTACATAACAGTTGGTCAATGGACAATAGCGAACTTAAGTATCAAGGGCAGGGATGCCAAACCAATGACACAAGCATGTTTTCAAAATCGTAAAGACACTGGTGTGTGCATGAAAAACCATTTTGAAAACATGCTCTTATCAGACCAGTGAACTTAATCAGACAAAGTGACTGTTTCATTGAATTATTTTCTAATAATATTTTTTTGTGATGTCAGGTTTCAAGGGAAGGATATAGTTACTATAAGAGAAGCTGCCTGGCTTACAGACAATACGTATAAATATGAAGAAGTTGTAAGGTAAACTAGTAGTACTGATTTGTTTCAGATTGCATTCTGTCCATAGATTACAAAAATATTTTTTACCATAGCCTGTATTGCTGTATTTGTCTGGAAAGACCTCCCCATCCCTTCTAGTAATAACTGCAGAGTACAAAGCAAAGTTGGCTATACTTATCCATGAGCACATAAYTTGACATTTCACAACTTCACCTACTTCAACTCACATTCTTTCTTTTTCCTTTTTTCCCCCCTCTGACGGAAACAAATGGAATGTTACTACGAAAAAGTATGTTTCTTATAAAAAGCACTTGAACTCACATCCTTTCTTTTTTGTTTTTTGTCTCACTCTGAAAAAAATAGAATGATGGGGGAAGTGATGTCATGTGTTCGAGGGCAAGTTAGGGTAAGTATTTTTACTGATATACGAGCTTTGGTATTTTTTCAACACCCAACACACACACATTGTTTGTGGTAAAAAGTAAATTCAAATTGTACTCCCTGTTTTTCTTAGGTTCTCACTACTCCAGACTTCATCAAACTCTTCAGCAGTCTAGCAGCTGTAAGTCAATCATCTAAAGATACAATGATATATCAGAAAGAATAATAGCTAAAAAATTAATTACTGGTTTCTGTCTCATAGGTTGATCGCACAACAGAGTGTCTAGCATCGTATATCGCAGACTTAACTATATTACATACAGAATTTGGAAGGTATAGTACACTGTTGTGATAAACTACAGTATGATATCTTTTTGTCATTTGATTTTTTACAATATTTCAATTTGATTTTCCAGGTTTTCTCCTTCGACTATTGCTGCCTCCTGTTTACTTCTTGCTCGAGCAATTCAAAAAATAGGTAAAATGAATAAATCAATTTAATTAAGTGTGAATTTCCAAGCTGCTTACAATGACTGGCATTTATTATACTATTATTACAGTTTTCAATATTACACAAACTCTGCAGCTGCAATTTAGCTGAAATGTGTTTTTTTTGCAACCATCAAATGGAAATTAGCTAGTCGGTACCTTTTACATTTTTGACTGGCGGCAGTAAAAAACCTAACTCCAAAGGGCAATTCTTCACTACAGAGTTCCATTAGACTGAATCATACTGCAAGTTACAGTAATTTTTGCATGTCATTTGTCGCCAGATTTACCATGGCCACTTCACATGCCACAGATGTGTGGACTTAGGATGACAGATTTACTAGAAAGCACATTCTTCTTACACCAAAAATGGTAAGTGCTCTTACTTAAAGTGCCAGGTTGTTGTGGTTACAGTTGTTATGGTGATTCAAAGCATGTGCACTTCATCTAGCATTGTACAAATCAAGTAGTGCTACTTTTCTCTTTCAACTTATCTATATTTCTATATCTTCATACTTTTCTCTTTTAGTTTACTAGATGATTCTCCGATCGACCATAGAAATGTCAAACTGAAGGCAATCAAGGAAAAGTAAGTGAAATAATGAAGTGCAAATAAAACATAAATTTCAAATTTAAGAAATATCCAAAATTTACAGTATGTCCAGGGACTTTTGAATCATAAATAAAAGGAATTTTTAAACATAAGAGAAACGAAAGAGTTTAATAAATAAATCCGACTGTGAGTGCATCGTAATTCATTGAACACACTCACGACGTTGGCCACTTGGTATAGACTAAAGGCGCGATTACTTGGAGCAATTTTCTTTGCAACTTGTCTCTCAACAGCGTTGCGACACAAGTTGCAAGAGTGTTTGCACGGTGCAATGGAGATGCAATCGTTGCCAAAAGTAGAAACATCTTTTTCAAGGTGCGCTGTAGGTTACGTGCTGCAATGCTCCATGCAACTTGTGTCGCAGCGCTATTGCAAGACAAGTTGCAGAGAAAAGTGCTCCGTGTAATCGCGCCTTAAGTAACCTGATCTTGATCACATCGGTGTGCTGTTTTTCAATATATCTACTATGTTTAATGGCTTTTTTATCTGTTCCATTTGCTACTTCTTGGTGCGTTTTTGAATTAGCTGAGATTTTGACGTGTTTATTCCACAGGTATTCTGATGAACGCTTTTCTAAAGTCAGTGAGTTTAAGGTGAGAAACGTTTTGCGCGCAATGCTTATGCTAAATATCTCATATGTAAGCTGTCTATTATTCATTGTGCATCTTTTTTAAAGCAATTGCTAATACAGAATTGTTATTTTTTTAATTCAGATTCCAAGTCGAGAAGAACTAAGGAGTTATCTTGTTCCTCTAAGTCTTCGTCTAGAGCGAAACAGACTAAAATCACAGCCTTCAACGAACAGCCTCACTCCCCCCAATCAAGACAGCCTTCTAGATACTAGTTTGATAAGCTGTTTTTCTGAAAGTGGTTACGACGGCGACATGGAGGACGAGGGGGACCTGGTGCTCGAAGACGTCATGGATGACGAAGATAGCTTCTTTGATGAGTTTCGTTCTCTTGACGAGCGGAGTATGTTAAACAGGCAGTTGGGTGATTCTTCATTTCTAGCTTCTGAAGAATATGCTCGTTCAACATCGACGCCGAGCATCTTACGACAAAGCCACGACAAGGCATTTTTCGAGGACGACTTAGAACCTATGGAGATAGAGCCCGTTGCTATTGACAACGTGATTGACAGTTCGAATGAAGTTCACGCGCCGATAGCACGACAACCTCTGAAACAAATTGAAAACAATGTAGAAATTTCTGACGCTCCTCAAAAATCCACGATAAAGACAAACCAAAGACGCAAAGAAATTCCTCTCAGAACACGACGAACAAGGCAAAGCACTGTACACGGAATAGAGTCCTGAGGTCAAACATTACTTGTGATAGAAATATGTAGAAAGGCAATTTTATTAGGTGGTTTGCAATCATTCAAAGGGGGGGATTTGGACAATGTTTGAAGATGTTGAGTAAACCTTAGCTTTAACTATGAATTTTCCCATATATGACCTTCATATATTTATATTTTAATTCTCTGGATCTCAAGTAACGTGATGAGATTGATATTTGCAGTTACAACCCAATAACTAGCAAATACCTGTGCTCGTTAAACACTACGTTGAAAACTTTAAATTAAAGCAGAGACCTACTTGAAGAAATCACTACGTAACCCACAATGCAACGCACAACGACTTGTGCGCTTGCGCAAGGAATAGTCATCTCATAAAAGAACTTTAAGGAATGATCGCAAACTGGAACAAAATTCTATACCATGTAAAATATCAGTATATAAATATACGATTCGTTCAGGTTTTATTGTACATATAATGAAGATATCATATATATTTAATAGGTAAAACGATAATGTCGAAATTTTCGTCTCTTTTTCTGCTATAAATTTATTTGGTAAAACACTAGCTTAACCTAATATATTCAGGGGAATATTTCAAACGTCTAACTGGCGCGACTTGCACCCGCAACACTCCGTTTATAACTAACTCAACCATTTCAGGAATTTTAAACTTTCGTCAAAGTGCTTCTTATTTGCAACGGTATATCTATTTCATTCAAAGCTTCTTATAAACTCAAGAATAGAAGTTTGTTATTAAAAGACTAGCACACTGATTAGGTCGATGTGTGTCCATTTTTTTTCATAAGTTGCATATGCTGCATTTATCCTGCACTTCTGAACAACAGGAATTTTGTTTTGCAGAAAGTGTGATTGTCTGAGTGAGTGTAGTTTTGAGAAAGACTGTTGGTGGAAACTGACGTTTCGACAACCTGAGCGGAAGTCTTCAGAGTCCAGTGAGAAAACGAAAGAAAGTCGATGGCACTTATACCTCTTTGACCTGGTTGCACGAAAGGTGGATAGCTCTATGCGAAGGATGAATACTTCATCCAGTGGATACAACTGGGTCCTGGTGCGGTCGTAACGTAAACAAGAAATTCCTCTAACGATTAGCCCTTGGGAATTCGCTTCTTTGCGTTAACTCCGCGGTTCGGACACCAAGTCAAGGCTCTTATTTCACAAATACCAGGAGTTTTGCCTTTTTTGCCGCCATCTGGATCCAACTGCTCAAAGGTCACGTCAACTACTTGGTATATATATTTGTCTTCTTGTTCCCACAAAGACGGTTTTGTGGACCAAATCATCAAACGTCTGTGGCAGCGGCTTGCCCTTGGTTTCTGGTAGTTTCAGACCCAGAAGTGCGGCGGATAATGTAACTATGGAGATGATAAACATTGGAGTTGACCTGTTTTCGTTGCCGAGAAGAACTATAAATGGTGCTGCTATGGCGCCGATACGACTTGATACTGTCAGTACTCCAAGAGCCATGTTTCGAACAACAGTCGGGTATAGTTCGGCTGCATAGGTATATAAAACTGCATTTGTTGCAGAAACACAGAACTTGCCAAATAAGGCTGCACACGTGACAAGCATGGAATTGACAACTTCTGCTTGTTGAAGCCTCATGCACCACCAGCATGCTATTGCAGCTCCGAACGTGAAAACAAAATTCGACTTTTGTCTGCCGATGCGATTAAGGAGTGGGACTCCAACTAGGTACGAAGGTACCTCTACTAAGCCCGACAGGGCAAAATTAACATGCATGTCTTCTCCCAGTCGACTAACGCTCATCGATATTCCAAAATATCCTATTCCATTGACGACGAAAGATATCAGCATTACCATGGTAATGGAACGAATGGATTTCCTTTTAAAGAGACTCAACAGCGACACGTTTTCGGGTGTGCCACCGGGTTTTGCATTGGGACCACCGGATTTTTCGAGGGATATCTTTGGAATCGATAGTCCGTTTGCACTTGCAGCTTCATTGATGATATCTTCGGCTTCTTGTACGCGCCCTTGAAATAGAAGCCATCGCGGTGACTCTGGCACAAGGTACATGCTAAAGATAGATACGATTTGTGGGACAACAGAAACAATCATCAAGGAGCGCCAGTTCCTTGAAAGAAAAGAAGGAAATTGAAGACTTAATAAATTAAAGTTTTCTTTTATCATTGCTGGCAACAAGCATCATCTTATTCGGTTTTCAGCGCACAGTGCAGTACTCTCAACTATGGTTTTCTCAAGCACTTTGGTTAATCAGAAGCCATTCAAGTGTCACGACGCAATGTTCCCGAAATGTGTCACGCACCCGAAATTTAAGTTTCCGCTTCGAAAACCAAGCTGTGGAAAACTGTCAAGCCTTTGTTATCAAAGATCACGCAGGACTCATTAACAGGGACCGTGGTAGTGAGTTTAAAAGTTAACTTTCAACTAACCTGAAAGTGTTGGCCAACAATGCAAGAAGAACGAAGCTGACTGCAGCAAACATTGATACGCTCATTGCTGCCACGGCTTGAAATAAAATACATGAGGAAGTTAAGTTAAGAATATTAAAAAACAACAACACATATATGTAATGAAATACCAAATTCTCTCCAAAATAGCGGGAAAGTATCACGTGACAATTCAATTTAAATGAACCATCCATCAATATACAAGGAATTTTGAAAATACAGTAATTCTTGCCAATTTGATTTGCTGAGAGTTTTAAAGCCTAAAAGCTAAAGATGTCGCCTTTTTAGAAGAATTCAGCCTTAAAACTATTGAGGAGAATTTCGTATAGTTTAAAAAGTCCGTTTCTTACCTCGATAAGATGACCCTATCATTTCCGTAGCCAAGACAAACGTAACCAGTGTTCCTCCTTGGATAAAAATTCCGTGAAAAAAGCGAACTACGTAGAATAAGTACAGACTTGGCGAAAAAGCAGAGAGAACTCCAAATATACAATTAGCGATAATACAAACACACCATACAATCCGTCTGCCGTATTTATCTGACATCAAACCTGCTGCGAGTGCTCCTACAAGCGCACCAGCCATGTACACCGACTGAGCTGCCTCACTTTTATAAGTATTGCCACAAATAAGTCCCCATTCTGTCGCTATACTCGTAAAATTCGACGTATAAACAGACTTAGAGCAAGCAGTTCCGTCTGGTTTACAAAGAGGCTCGTTTGGCTGTCCAAGGCATTTCCATTGTGGTTGTGCGGCGAGAAACACACTGATAAGAAGTTGAAAGTACATGGGGATGGTAACAGTGTTCACTATGAAATACTGTATTCTTTGGTAAGGGCCGAATTCACCGATTTTAGTCAAAGCGGAGTCAAAGTTCATGGTGTTTTGTTGTTCTTTGTGATGTTTTACTTCAGAAGTGAAGGGTCTAGTGAGGCATAGCACGTTCAATCAGACGGCGCAGACGAGATCCACGTGGCAAAAAAGGGCAAAAGTTGGCTTTCATGCGCTCAACCGTCACGACTGTAACAAAGGTTTCAAATGTTTCATATACGACGAAACTGTCTATTATTTTAGCTTATTTTTACATCAAAAGAATCAAACTTCAGCAGTTAAAGATTAGTGAAACACAGAAATGCAAATTCTGAAGGGTCTGCGGAACAAATGCTCATTTGTCTTACACCCAAAATATAGAATGTCATGGCAACAATTTGCATAACGAAAAAGCTGCTGAAAACCTTTTTGAATCTTTGAAATGAAAAAGAACAAATAAAAGTAAAGAAAAAAGAAAAGAAAATAGGAAAAGAAAATAAAGAAAAAGGGAATGAAAAGGAAAAGAAAAGGGGAAAAAAGAAAAGGAAAAATAGGCTCTTGGAGAAAACAATTAGAAAATATATGAAAATTCTGAAGGGGCTGTGAAACAAATATCCATTTATCTTACACCCGGCCTAAAATACAGAATGTTATGACAATCATTTGCAAAATGAAAAAACAACTGAAAACCTTTTTGAATTTTTCAAATAAAAAGTAACAAATAAAAGTAAAGAGAAAAAAATAGGACAAGAAAAAAATAGGACAAGAAAAAAAGGAAATGAAATGGGAAAAAAGGAAAAACAGGCTCTCAGAGAAAACAATTAGAAAACAAATGGTTAAATATATAAAGAAAACAAAAACAGGAGAGAAAAAGACAAGAAAAGAAACATCAAATATGTTTTTGCCTTGCTTTGCATAGTTATGGCTCTTTTCCCCATCCTCTCATTCAACACTCTACCTTAAAGTCTGGCTGCAGAGGGGGTGGGGCAGGAGGGCTTCAGCTCCCTCTTCCCACTTTTCCCCTTCTCCAATACTAGTCTCATATTTTCCAATCTTAGCCCCCCACTTTTTCCTTTACTTTTTTCAATCTTAACCCCCCTCCCCACTCCCCCAACTTTTTAGGGTGCTCTGTGGCCCCTGACCAAAGAGTTATCCTCCAAGAAAGCAGTTTTTAAATAAATTGTTATTAAAATAGGAAGACATAATACATCCTTGTTCTCTCAAATTCAAATGAAAAAATCAAATGTTTCATTAACTATTTACAAATCATTCATGAAAGGTGATAATAAGTCCTATATCTCTATCTCATAATTTCACATTTTCAATCCTAAAATTAAAATTTTCCATCTTTTCCTTCAAAATAAGTTATTCAAAAATATAAAGTGTTCATGTTTTTAAAATATATAACAAAAATATAAATTTAATCTTTTTCCTAACTTTTGAAGATGAGTTATACCATTAGCCTGGGATTATTTGAATGTTTTCTTGAATAGACAAATTTTAGTACCTGTCAATAAAAAAATAATAGTTTAACATAAAATTTAGAAAAATAAGGTCATATGAGCTTAAATCTGTGAAAGGCTGGTAGTTTATGACACTGGTCAGGGATTTTCCGAAAGGAAGGGCCAAATTCTAAAGTCTGCCATTTCATTTGGGCAGATAAATTCCAAAACAAAAAAGAAAAAAAAAAACAAAGAAAGAGAAAAAACTGCCATTATTTTGTACGTTTTTTTTTGTGTGTGCAAAAAAGATTTAAAATCATTATATAAATTCTTAAAGTGGGGAAGGTGTGAAATGGTTTCAAAATACATTATGGGATTGATCATAAACTAAAGGGAAAGGAAGGGGGGGGGGGTAAGAGCAGAGAGTAGGTCACACAATTTTATACTACTCCTCGAAAGGATTGGGCTGTCTATAAAACTCTACATCCCAGTATTACCCCACACCTTTTTATTTACTTTATGACCAGTACCTAAATATATTAGGAGAGTTAGTTCCCTTTTCAAAATATATAATTCATAACCTTATGCACCAGATTGAAATATAACACTTTCTGCACTCTCTAGCCTCTCTAGTACAAGAGGCTAGTCAGTCCAGAACAATAATTATTCAAATTAGACGCCATATTTCAATTCGGTGTACGGCATTTTGGAAAGTTTCAAAAAATGCACACTTCAAGTACTATACTGGAATGAAAGTGAAATCACGTCTATAATATATGTGTAAGTGGTTAAAGTGTTTTGTATAATTATATTCCGTTGACCCGAAATTAATAATTAAAGTGTTTATACCACGGCGTAGAAGAGTAATTAATCATCATCGTCGTCTTCATCAGGCACAAATATATTCCATTCCTCTAGAAAACTTGCCAAATTCATAGACAGATACCCTCCAAAATAAATACAAGGAACAACGATTATCGACGCCTTCAGTAAACCAAAACTGCTTCTTGCCGGCTGTGATTTGACAGGTTCATAGCTTGAATAAACCACTCTCTTCAAATGATGGAGATTCGTGGAATTTAGAGTTTTTCTGGCATAAAATGCAAACATATTCCATTAGACATTCCCAAGAGTTTCCTACTACTGACAACGATTGACTCAAGAAAATCAAATCTCGAATAAATTCCGAATTTACACTTCGCTCACTTCGTTAATCATCGCTTCATTTTCGGAAATCGACGAGGTATCGACTATGTGATGTCAGTTCGGCATTTCCCGTGATGCAGTACGTTTTTTTAAGTTCAGTACTGCGTGTAAGGTGAAAGTTGTTCTGGAAAAGTTTAGCCTTTTATTTCGCACTTTATTCCAAGTTTCCGCTTCCTAAGAGCAAAAAGACATTTGGTATAAATAAGTAGTAGCCGTATTTTATCCTAGGTGTAGTTTTTTTTCGTGTTTAGGCTGTTTTTTTTCCTTCTAAAGTTAGTTTATCGCAACCACATGGTGAATACAAGATGTCATCGACAACAATGCAACTTAGATTCTCTTGACTCAAAACTAGCTTTTCTAACGGAAAACTAGGCTTTCTTTACGTTTCTTTGATCTATTTTCTCATGTCTTGTATACATTATAAGTTTCGGAGTAGTTTGGAGTATGATACGATCACGTTTGATGGCTTGGCAATCTCTCTTGCCGACCTCAAAAAATCCATTATGGCGCAGAAAAAATTCGCTAAGGTCACAGACTTCGACTTGGAAGTGACGAACGCACAGACTAAAGAAGGTAAAAAGAACCTTTGAAGAAGATGATACTAGTATCTTTGTCGTGTTTAATAGTCGTTAACAGCAAATAATGTTGTTTTTACAGAGTATAAAGATGAAAATATGCAGATTCCTAAAAACTCTTCTGTAATAGTTCGACGTATTCCTACAGGAACTCGAAGCAAAGCACAGTTAGCAGCGTAAGTGTTATAAAATATAATATTTTTTGACCTTACTAGCCATACATATAGTGAGGTAATGTTAAATAAGGTTGTATCTCTCAAAATTACGTAATAAAAGGATTTTCATGGTCTAGTATTTTTGAGGTTTTTGTCACCGAAAGTCGAAATATTCGAATCGTCAATGAAAAGATATTGAAAGGAAAATGATATTTCAACAGAATATAGTTATAAGATAAAAAAGTTTTTTTTGTTAAAAACTGCATTAATTAAGGAATTTTCTAAAGACTACTTTTGTACCATGATTCATAAAGGGAATGTTTTTTTGGTATTTTCGTGGCACACTTTGAAAGGATTTTTTTCTTAAAGGTAGAGAGGGGTGTTTGTTCAAACGATTAAATCATCCCTAGCTACAGGCCTGCGTCTGAATGCAGCTCAATTTGGAGGAGACAACAATAGGTTTCCAATTCTCAGGAGATTCTTTTGTTTTGTCCACCAAATTGAGCTGCTTTGACGTTACATGCAAGGGGTCTATAGCTCACTTTCAATATTCTGGTTGAGTGATCACAAACCCAAAAATCAAGGTTCTGGAGAAACAAAGGAATTGCAAATATTCTTTCATTACACTAAAACCTTGAGTAAGGGTCATATTCCTGTTCAATGTTACAGTGACTCCAGATCGTCCAGTGAAATCAATAGTCCTAATTGCTTCCAATACAGTGACTCTTGGGTGAAGTGCATTATGGGAAACCACAGGTGTGGTTGGGTCGAAAGTTGCAATTGCTGCTAATATATCTATTACCCACATTTTTGTTGCCACTGTGAAATAATTTCTTTTATCATTGTATTCCTTACAGGGATAGGGCAGACCCTTATGCAAGTGGATTACCCAAAACAGTACGTACTAGTCAGAATAGATTGTTTTATACTTCTACTACTACTACTACTTCTAATCAAGTCAAGGTAGATTGTAACATTAATACACTTACAATATTTTCAAATGTCTGCCAAATGAAATATGTTTCAAAAAACCGAAACACATTTAGGTATTACTTAAAACATGCCTTACTTGCATCATTTTAAAAATTTTATTAAATCATTCAATAAATTCCCCTTTGAATTTTTTATTCTTTAATGAATTAATTGTTCCCCAACCACTTTCAAAGTGTAAGGAATTTTAATGTTGAATACTTAAATTCAATTTCTAAACTTCAGTGAAACTTTATATCTTGTTTTTAAAAAAACTTATAATTATTTACTAACGAGTTTAATGTTTTTTAATGCCCTTTCGTTAAGTTTCTAAAAAAATTTTACTCCACATTGTAGCTGCATTTTAAAGGATATTTAATATATTGATCATCATTATTACTTCTCTAAACTTTTCTTTAAAAAAAAATTGCATAGGATATGAATAAAAATACAAAATTATTTCTAGTTTTAAAATATTTTCCATATAAAGAATTTTAAAAGAATTAAGAAAAAAAGATTGCATACTTTCTTGAACAATAATTTTATAAAATAATATTGTAAATAATAATTTGGCAGACGTTTGTTGAACATACAATATAATAGCTTTATAAATTTACTAGATATTATGAAGATGTATTTATATTAAAATATTAATGTATGTGAAAATGTTGCTTTATGAAGATGTTTTTATTACTATTATTAAGGTTCAATAGATATATAACTATTATTAAGATTCAATTAATAGAAAAAATGCTGTCTGTAGCTTGATTATCTGGATGTGCAAGACAACTTTGGGCAGTCAGGGCTTAAAATAACAGCAGGTCTTTGGGTCATTGTCTTGCCAGAATTAGAACTTGTCTTTGCCTTGCTGGTCGGTTGGTCAGTAATATTGAGCCAAAAATGAGGTGTGCACTACAGTATGTAGCTAAAACCAATTTGCATCGTGACTGTGACCAACAACTGACCAGTGATTGGCCTGCTGTTATTCTAAGTCCTTGCAGTGTGTGTATGGAAAGAGACAAACTTGTTTGTCTTTGCAGAATTGTTTTATTCTAAGTGATATTTTAATATTAACAGTTGACAAAATTGACTAATTATCATTTGAGCAAATAAAGATGTTTTTAACTTGTTAATGTAATCAATATTATGTAAGAATATTGGTCATGGTGTTGAAAGATTTTTGAACACACACCTTTGTTCCTTGAAGATCCAGTTTTATTTGAAGTTTTTTAATAAAACTATACATGGAATCAGCCAGGATATTAGTCCATATAAAACAGTGCTAATGAACAGTTGTCATAGAGAAGAAAAAGAACTGAACTTAACAGTGTTTCTGTACTGTTATTTACTAAAATGGACTACAAGAAGTTGCTTTATTTACCAAAAAAATCTCCTTGCAAAAGAACTGATTACTTCTGTAATGCCTCAAGTCCATTATTTTGATGATGATGATGATCAGTGCCACCAATAAAAAAATATCGATTTGTTTTGAAGCCAAAATCCTTGTATTCAGTACAGGGCTATCCTATTTTAGGTTTTGTTCATTTTTTTACGATTCCCACACATTAAGTATAACCTGGAATGAGCATGGAATGATGTTGCTATGACTACGGATTATAGAAGCATGTACGACATGGAACAATTAACTTTACCTGAATATGGACATTGTTGCTACTCTTGATACACTTTGGTTTACAGCCATTCAAGAATGGAATATGGATTTTACATTGGTATATATATGTGTGTTTTTTATGATGATGCAAGAGAAGTTGGATTTCTGCGATGTTACATATTTTCATTTGGGTTATGGATGGATTCTTGGCAATTTGTCTCATTCAAGACCAACAGTAGGTGTATTGCAATACATGTTTACCTGTGATGTGAAGTTTGAAAAAAATATCCATGATTGTCTTTCAAACCCATGGGTTGGTCGATACCATCTTAACTTCATGCTGTAGATGAACTATAGTCAAAAACCTTGTTTGGAATTACTTTACTGGAAACAGTTTGAGCTGCAGAAAAATGATTTTTGATGGATGTCTTTCACAAATTTTTTGGGGTTTTTGTCACAAAGGTTTAATTTATATTTCAGATTGTGATTCCTTTCAAAATGAAAAAAAAAAAGAACCAGTGGAATAAAGTCCATTCTCCACTAATCGCTGAAAGCATTTGCAGTAAAGCTAGCCAGTACCTTTTTTCTTCTAGCTAGTACTCATAATGAGTTGAAAAAGATATTTTTGTTTGCAGCCAAGATGGCAGACTGGAAGATGGCAGACAGGAGTGAAGAAAAAGGGAAAAAGCTATTGCCCTATATCACTATGAAGTCACTGCTTGTTTATGTGGGGGATAGAATTGCCAAATCCAATAGAAAATTCAACAAAATTTGCTCCTAGCAAACAGTTTAATCTAAAATGGCCTGGTTTTCAGATATCATATGTGTTAATATGTACTAAAAAATATTCTGAGCATTTGCTGGCTATTCTACTTCTCTTTGTGGATTGATACGGGTTTTAGAACAATTTTCGGTGAATTTATGTTGATTTGACCCTGTCCAACGACCATGATCCTTTGTGTTTAAACAATAGATTGTTTTGATGTGACGTCATAGTGAAATAGGGCAATTGAAATTGGCTATACATTAATGAGAAATGGTGATGACTTGCTACTGTAGCTTGCTGCCAGTGATTACAGTGATAAGTGGAAAATGGACTATATTTCTTTGTTTAATGAAAATGTTAGAAAGTCAAAAGGTCAAAGCCGTCAAATCCAAAGCTGAATAGGTATATTTGGAGGGGGGAAGGGAAAGATGCATTTTTTTTTGGTTTGGTATGCTAAAAGGTCCAAACTGACTATAGTTCTTCTCTAATATTATGAAGTATCTCTCCTGGGTTTTGAAGGCATGAAAAAATGGGATGAAGCAAACTTTACTTGTCACTAAAATGGGTAAACCTACCAACGTGTTTCCTTTTTGTGCCGTTAAACTGGTATCAACCATTGAGTAACAGTCTATACACTGAACTATCACCATACACTTTATATATTGATATAATGTTATAGAAGAACTGCAGAGGAATATTTGTGACGATAATATGCTATAAGCTTTAATTATGAACATTGGACTCTGAACTATGAACTATGAAGAAAAAGATGGAAACAACATTGGAAGAAATATACCAGCAACTGCTATGAACAGTATAAAGACACTTTGCTATTATTATAGGCCCAGTTTCTTCAAAGGAATTTTACTTAACATATATAGTTATTGCTTTTGAAATTTGTTATGGAGAAATTGAAGGTAGAGTACAAACAATTAATCCGTGAACCACAAATTACTAAATAGTGCTAATTAAACAGTAGAAAACAATGGAATTTGCATGAAATTGTGCTATTTAGTATTACTAAAGTTTCACGGTTATATTGTTTGCACTCTAGTAGAAACATTATAATGATCAATCCTGAGATAGAGGTTTTGCAACATCACATGTAGGCAGCCTAGTTAGATGGTAGGAAAAATACAGTTGCTTTACATGGATCTTTATCAAATGACGGTATGTTTCACCTGCATAACTTTTATTCTCAATCACTTGGTTGTAAAACAAAGTCTGGTGGGATCTATTTTTCAAACCAATGCAGCTGCAGCGTGAAAAAGGCCCCTGAGAAAGAATTCAATTCCCCAGAGTAAAGTGATTTCATTTTTCTGCCATCTTACATGGCTTCAGCCATGTGATGGTGCAAAACCTCTGTTCTAAACATAAGCAGTAAATCTATAGTTCAGACAGCATTCATGCATTGAATGTAACATGCAATAAAATGATACCTTATATCTTTCTTGGAAACCCCAATCCACCACATTGAGAGAGTTAGTCAGATATTCATTGGAACTTTTTCAGACAATAGTGACAAAGATATTTGCTGGGTGTCTTTTGACATCATTTATTGTCTTGTGCAGAATGTTCATCAACCTTTGCAGAATTCACTTGAGTGTCACTTAAGTAAATTTGAAAAAAAGATATATTCTTTCTGGTTGTCAGCATTAATTGGACTTTAATCAGTTAATTGAAACCCAGCAATGAGAGATATTATTTGTGTCCTTAAAATCCTACATTAGAGTTTATTCACACCGAAAAGTGTGCAACATGAATGATTATTCTGCAAAGTGTTGACTTGGTTTACAGCAAATATCTCTTAACTTGACAAAAATGTAGAAGTATTGTGACTGGATGATTGATAGAGGGGGTGTGGGGGTTTATGGTGGCCATGTTGTAGGCAGGAATGGTGCACAGTGCATAAGTTAAGAAAAATATTATTTCCTACAAGAGGAAATTTGAAAATTTCTTTTTTTGCTAACAACATAGCTGTCTGAAACCCCCATAGCCCATAGTGATTTTCCTCAGTTAAATGAATTAAGCTACAAAATTTGAAATTTAAAAAGTTTAAATCATCTGTTGAGCAAAGACAAGACAAGCCAATTTCTAGACATTTCCTTACATTATTTGCCTCTGAAAGCCTATGCATATTGGCTATATATGTGCTTTATAGCTACTGGGCATAAAGGATAAATTGAAGTGGCTGCATATTGAATGTAGCACAGGAATAGTCCTTTTTCTCATTCAATACTTTGCACTATTTTTGACCATCGCAGACTCATCTATATTATTCAAGATACCATTAAGAATTTGATTGGATTTGTTTCAAATCCTTTACCTTATAATTGACCTCTCAGAATATTAGACCTAATCCATTGTTTTCCCATTTTGAACCATGTCATTCCCTAATGTATTATTTCTTTGTTCAATGGTTACACATTGGAAGACACAAATATGGAATATCTTATTCTCAAGAGAATGACGTGATCTAAGATGGGAAAACAATGGCCATAGATTAAACAAGGCTAGAGCTTTAACAATGCATTCATATTCAAGGATGGTCGAATGAGAAAAAGGATAAATGAAAGAATAGGATAATTTTAGATGTCCTCTAACTTCCCGATATCAAAGTTGATTTTGACTCTCCCAGTTTAATATCCACATCTCAGATCGTCAATAAAAGAAAGTGGTGTTTTCTGGGCTATTAGCCAGACATTGCCTTACGACAGGCATGTATTATCTCCTATAGGCTTGGGTATAACTAGATAGAACTCTTATGCTTCTTTCCTTAGAAAAGTGATCTTCAAGAACTACAAACTTCTGTTTCCATTAAACAGAACAAGGTAAAAAGCTCTTTGATTTTCATGTTAAATTGTACCGGTTTACTGATAACTTGAACTTTGCTGTGCCCTTGGGTGGTGTAAAGCAGGGTATTGTAAGGTTTTATGAATCCGGTTTTACTGTTACGAAATGTAGGGTAGTCAAGTGTGCCTTTCCTATGTGGTGTTAGTATATATAGTCAATATAGTGACATTAATCTTTACTGAGATAAGTCTATGTTATTTATGTTGTATGCAACTGTATTTCCTTACATCTGAGACATGACATGAATTGTTGCAAATATTTGATGTAATGTTACATGCAACTTTACTAACGTGCATATGACCTTGACTGGCAGAAAGCAGGCAATATTGTAGGTGTGAAATTATGGAGTTATCATTATACTTATTTTCATCATTACATGGCCCAGTCGGCTATCTATAATTAAATCGGTACCTGGGATTTTGGCTTCTGTCAATCAAATTCTCAATGATATGAATTAGTTTTTTTGATTGATGGAGGCCAAAAACCAAGACGTCTTGTGATGAGCTGGTTGCATTAGGCCCCGTCCACACTTATCCGCAAATTTTTGTATCCGCAAATTTTTTTTTGCGGATACAGAAATGTTTGCATACACACGCAGCGTATTCGTTTTCACTGTGCACATGTATCCGTTTTTGTCAAATTTGCAGATACAGACACAAAAATTTGCAGACACGTGTGGACGCAACTACAAATTGCAAATACAAACGTTTCCGGATACGTGTGGACGGGGCCTAAATCTTAAAAATGGGTATAAATTAGGCATAATTTTAAGCGAAATGGTGAATTTGCGTCAATAGGTGGTTGACTTGGTGAGCTCAGATGCTTCTGAAGATGACAAGTTGAAAGCAATGATGTCACAGGCTGGAGAAGACTGGCAACCAAACCAGTTAGTCTACATTTTATTTTATTTTATTTTTTGATTAACAAATTGATGGTTTTTACTACCTTGATTCCCTTAGAGTAGGCAAACAGAACTCGGCTAGCAGGAACTAACATCACAGTCATTTATTTTTCATTTTATTCTCTCTGTAATGTTGACAACCATAAACATTAGGACCATTGTGTAGTTCAAGAAATTATCCATTCCCCTTCTCCCCACAGAGGAATTTTCTTAAAGACCCCCTCTCCCCGCCCCTGGAAATTCCAATTTTATTCCTTACAAACTCTGTAGTTTTGTCTGATCCCCCTACCTTTGAACTACACATTCAGCTTGGGTGTAAGTTTCCCTAATTTAAGACAATTGTCATGCCATTGTGTTAGCCTACTCTGTAAACCACGCTTGCCTTAGTCATGGATGGGGTCTCTATGGAAATTTTTAAGTGAAAGGAGGTCTGGAGAGGAGAAAGAGGGAAGGAGAAAAGGCAAGATTATTTTTCCTTTCCTTCATCTCCAATCCCCTCTCATTTTCACTTGCACAGGAAGCCCAAGGTAATTTCTGCAAAGGACTCTACCATTCAGTATTACAGTACTTCATTACATTCATATCTCATAAAGTGTTTTCAACAAACACATGGGTCACCTGACATTGCTGATACATGGTATGAAATGGTAAAACAAACCATGTAATGATTGGTCAATTCAAACCCATGGTTTCACTGTTTGACTTAATGCAGCTTTGCATCAGGCATAGAAATAGTAAAATTTCAAATTTGATGGTTTCAGGTATGTTAGAGGGCGTGGTAGGGGATATAATCCATCAGGACCTCTGCCTCCTAATTATGTTTGCTATAGATGTGGGAAACCTGGCCACTTTATTAGAAACTGCCCTACTAATGGGGTAAGTATACAAGTTTTGGTTGAATGAGATCATTATCAAAATTGATATATGCTATCAATATCCTCATCACTATCATTGACATCGCTGCCATCAGTATTGCCGTCACCACCATCTTCGCCAACAATCATAAACATCAAATTATATTCCTTACTACTACCACCATTACTATCATTATCATAACTGCCGTTTTCACCATCACCATCAACATCACTATCGTTAACAGCACTGTCATCAGGATCATCATCACCCCCACCATTCAACAACAGTCATCAACGTCAATTATTGTCATTGCTACTACCACTTTTACTATCATTATCATCACCACCACCTTCACCACCATTATCATCATCATCACTATCGTTAGCATCACTACCATCACTCTCACTATCACGACCACCTTAGCCATTCACAAGCAGTTATCAACATCAGTGCCAATTAAGGTCATTGCTACTACTGTCATTACCATCATTATCATCACCACAAACTGCACCATCATTATCATCACTATCACTTTTAACATCACCTACACCATYCACTAGCAGTCATCAACATTAATTATCATCTTCACCACCATCATCTGCCATGATTCATGAATCAACACTGACATCTGTGCCAAATAACATCCTGAATCTACTTACCAAAGGAACATGCTGCAAATTCAAAATTTTGAGTTGATACTGGATATATTTGTTGAGTTTTTTCATTTTTCCGTTACCCTCAGGTGAAGCGAACTATTGGAATCCCAAGAACTTTTGGTGATGATCAAGATAGTGGTACAACAGAGTAAGTACTACAAAGATTACAACTATCAAGGGTTTTATTACAGGCAGCTGAATACACACACACAGTAGTGCTTACAATTTATTTATTTTATTAATTTATTTATTTCCTGATTAATTTTAAGGGATTCAAACAAAGAGTCCAAAAAGGAATCTTCAGAACCAACCAAAACCTTGGTCCCTATACCAGAGCTAGATACTTCTAAAAAGGATCGTAAAGTGCCGTCGGAGCTGAAATGCCCTATGTGTAAAAACTTGCTGAGTGATGCTGTTCTTATTCCCTGTTGTGGCACCAGCTATTGTGATGAATGTAAGTGTGTGTGGCAAACATTAGACATAATAAGTATTATAAATGAAATGACGAGAAATGATGAAGAGAAATAACTCAGAAAAAAAATTTAGTTTCAGATGGAATTAGAAACAATGACATTTTTCTGAGTTAATCACTTCTCTTTGTTTTATTTAATAATGATGATGAGGATGAGGATGATAATAGATAATAGGCCCTTTGCAGCTAGTGGTCACGTGCTTGGATACCGCTTAGCAACACAAAACTGGAGAGCAAGCCTTCCAGTAAACAAAAGTTGTAATAGGTCAAGCACGCGTGGTTTTATACGATAGTTTCATCGTTCAAAACGCTTAATCCTTTTGCCCCATCTACAAACACAGTAAGATAATCTTAAATTCTCTCCTTTGGACTCGATTTTTGGTTCGAAGTAACGATATTCTTCGCGTTATCGCGAAAAAATTGTCACCGCCGGCCCGCTCGACGGCTGAAAAACATGGCGACTTCGCAAGGTATGTACTTCAAAACT